GCTTTCCCATCATGGAAAAGGGAAAAGACCATGTAACTTGTTCCGAGCAAGAGCTAAAAAGTTGTTAGATTAATTCATGCATGAGCCCTATGGTTGTTGGGGTTTTTTAGGGTTTTTTAAGCGTGCTTTTTCCTCCTTGTTTTAGAGTCTTTTATAAGCTTTTCACCTGGCCTTTCCCTATACAGCCATGAGGGAAAGCCACTTGCTGTTTTTAAACAGAAACTTGGAACTCTGTCGGTTCTGAAACGTGCTTGGTGGCCCACGAACTTTCTGCTGCATCTCCGACAGCCTACATTGTACTTGCAATGAAGTACTTTTGTGAAGACTCTAAGCAATTTGGGAACCAAGACAGGATGAAAAGGACAGGATTTTATCATCCTGCATGGCACCAGGAGGGGTCAGAACACCTAGGGAAGTCTTCCTTTTTAAAGCAGCGATGGCACAGAAATTGGTTAATTACAGGACAGCAACAACCAAACAATTCAGGAATTTCACCCCCAAATACACATCTTCACCCTTTCCCTCAATCTTTATCTTGCGAAAGGTAAGGTAGGTTTGCAGCAAAGGCATCATCATCTTACCTTGAACATCCATTGCCATCCATCTGGAAAACAGACGTTCCCAGCGCTTCCGATAAGGAACTCCACTGAGCCAGAAGACATGGGAAACGCTCACTGCCCAAGCTCCTTTTTACAAGGGCTAAGTCTTGGGAAATAAAGAGAGAGTCAGTTAAAAGCTGAGCTATTGTAGCAAAGAGAAAGATAGAGCGAAAGAACTCACCATCACCACTGAGATTTTATCATGTGTCATGCATAAGAACTTGAACCTGGCTTTAGAAAGTAATCAGAAACTGTGGAGCTGTACAGTGTTTTATATGTGAAGGTTTTAGCTTTCATACTTGTGCTTGGGGACAACACATCAGAAACTTCCCCCAGCTAAAATTTAATAGAGCAGAGTTTTGCCTTTTCAGCTTAATGGAAGTTTTTATTTGCAAGATTAGTGCTCCTTTGTCCATAATGCCCTAGCCTGTTTTAAAAGCACCACCTACCTGCTATCTACCATCTTTGTTGTCCCCTCAAAGTTGTGTTTTACCCCCAAGCAGATCCTTAGAAATTAATGGACTTAAGTCAGTCATGCCTGTTACATTTACTTTGTGTTGGACTAAGACTGGAAACAATCCATGACCTCTGACTTACTCCTGCCATCAGTTTACAGATCCTTGTTTTTTTTCCAGCTGCAATACTGCAAAATACGTCTGACAAAATTATAATGTTGTCACTTGCTTCTATTAAAATATATATTTATATTTATATACTGTATACACTTTATGCTATCCTCCGTGAAGGTGGCAGATTTTTGGCACGCGGTATTATGTCCAACACAAAAATAAAAATTAATTTGGGGTCGTTCCCCCCTGCCCAAAATAACAATAATCACGTTGCATACACAGATGGCCTCTCTGTCCTCCCCAGTTCTAGAATACTGAATACCACCAACCTGAATGGCTCTAAAAGAGGATGAGACAAATTCACCAAAGGCAAGGCGACTGATGGCTACTAAGCTGCGGTCAGGGGCAGTGAACGCTTCTGTATACCAGCTGTTGCTGGAAACCGCAGAAGGGAAGGTTGCACTTGCAAACTTCCCACAGGGATCTGGGTCGGCCACTGTGAGAACAAGAATCTGGACTGGATAGGCCATCGGCCTGATCCTGCAGTCTCTTATGATCTTTATCAGGATAATTTTGTCATACCTCCTCCCCATCACCAGATTTGGCCTTGAGCTGGTTTTAGCCTTAAAAATCATCAAGTGCAAAGTGACTAACACACAATCTTATGGACATCTACTCAGCAATAATAATAATAATAATAATAATAATAATAATAATAATAATTTATTATTTCTACAGCCACTCTGTAGCCATTTATTATTTCCACTCTGTAGCCATTTATTATTTCCCCAGCCACTCTGGGCGGCTTCCAACAAAAGCTTTAAAATGCATTAAAACATCAGTCATTAAAAACCTCCCTAAACAGGACTGCCTTCAGATGTCTTCTAAAAGTCAGATAGTTGTTTATTTCTTTGACATCTGATGGGAGGGCATTCCACAGAGTGGGCGCCACTACCGAAAAGGCCGTCTGCCTGGTTCCCTGTAACCTCACTTCTCACAGAGAGGGAACCGCCAGAAGGCCCTTGGCGCTGGACCTCAGTGTCCGGGTATACAGTGTTCAAGCATACTCAGAAGGCAGCCCTGCAGAATTCAGTGTGCCTTACTTCCCAGCTGCAGGGAATATGAATGCAGTCTAAGAAACTGAACCTGCACAGTAGGGTGTCCCTGTGGCAAATACTGCATGTGCCGCAAGTTTGCTGGGTAGCATTAAGGGAGCTGTTATCTGAGCTTCAATCTGCTCCCCGTCCTGCAATAATCTGCAATATGGGGGGGGGGGGATCATGGTAATACTGACTTACCTTACAGGGTCTTGCGAAGACTGCATTTGGGGCCTGCATACGAACTGCTCTGAATACCTGACAGTGCTACAAAGATGTTTCTTTTTTAAAATATTACTTGAAACAACTATTTTAGATCATTTTAAAAAGCAGCCAGCAAGGTTTTTAAAAACACATTTTAGAAGCTTGCAAAAATAAAGTTCTGTCCTGGTGCCTAAATTTAGGAGCTTTAGGGCATTTCCCCATAGTGCACACACGCAGCTTCTTACAACAGATTATTTGCAGATTTATGAACCGCTCCCCAACCGTATGTTCTGACAGCTAATTACAAATAAGATGTGAGAAAGCTAAAATGTTAACGATTACAAACTCAAGTTGGCTAAGCCCATTTCTACAACTGTGCCAAATAGTGGAATAGGCTGTCTCAAGGTGAGGATCTCTTCTTTGCTAGAGGTTTTTCAATAGAGGTTGGATGGCCACCTGCCAGGGGTTATTTAGCTATGATAACTGCACTGGGTTGGACTCGATGACCCTTGGAATCCCTTCCAACTCTATAATTATGGTAGTATTTTCCCACAAAGTGACTGAGCCACACTTTAGGGAAAGCTTCCTTGAAACAAAAACCGTAGGGCAAACTACGGAAGAAACACCACTTTAGTTTCAAATGTGTTGTATGTGAAATATAACCAAGGTGGCATTCAGACAGCATTTTGTTCCATTTCCTTACCTGAGCCCGTGTTCTTTCACGTGGCATAAAGGCCACTTTTGGAAATCTAGTGGAAGTTTAGCGCTCACTTCGGCGTTAATTGCTCCCACAAAATATCCGTTTGCAACTCTGTCGACCTGAAAAATGGCAAGAGTTTTTTGCGCTGTAATTTCCTGCAGTAGAAAAGGAATATTAGAAACTGAGACAGAAATGTCATTGTTATCGCCAATACAATCCACACCACATCTCAATGCACCCAAGGTCTTAACAACTCCTTGGGTACTTTACCCCTTAAAGCAAAAGCTTCAGATCCTGGGTTGAAGTGGGAAGGCTCAGTGGTGAGAGCACCTGCTTGGCATGCAGATCCCAGGTTCTATCCCCAACATCTCTGGGCAGGGCTGGAAGAGAGATACCTTCCTGAAACTGCGGAGAGCTGCTGCCAGTCAGGGTGGACAATTCTGAGCTAGATGGACTGATGGTCTTCCTGTGTAGAAATAACAAACGCTCCGCACCTCGTTCCAAATCATACAAGAATTTAATCAGCTTAAATAGATATACAGCAAGATGCACCACTCATTTTCTAAAACTACCCTCCAAGCTCACAGGAACTGCAGGAAACAGGGTTACTACAGCAATGCAATTTGTCCCAATCAAAACCACTCTGGTCCACTTGCTAGACTCATGCAGATCCAGAATGCGCAGGGTAATTACATCGGTCAGACACAGGAAAACAAGCTACTTGGAGGGGGTGTATGTTAACGATGAAGTCTAAAAACAGAGTTACACATACTGTATAAAAGGCAGGCGCACTTATTAAAATGCCCCGAACAAAAATGATTTTAAAACCAGTACACCCAAGAGTCAGCATTAGATACTAAACCCAAATTCATTGTAGCCCATAAACTAGACATACATCAAAAGGCGGCCAAGATAAATAAGGCTGCAAGCCCATGCACACTTACCTAAAAGTAAGCCTCACTGGACTCAGCGGAGCTTACTTTTGTGCAAGACATGTTTAGGGTTGCACCGTAAAGGTCACACTGGAAACCACCATGCTAAAAAGAATAAAATGGTGCCAGCACAATGTATTCAGACTAGGAGGAGTCCATTCAAAAGTTTTCAAAGGCACTGTGCTTCCAACTATAAGCATCACACAGCACTACTGAGGTGCAATGGCTTAATGGCTCATGAACGTATACTGGATTCGCCACATCTGTGCAAAGTGGCAAAGGAGGGTGGAGGGAGGTGTAAGGCTCTGCAAACATCGAACTGATTGCACAGGAATGTGTCCTCGTGGCTGCGGGTTTGGGGGTGGGGGCAGGAAATTGCAAAATTAAAAGCCAGCTTCTACAATTGGTGGGAGGGTCACATAACCCCGTTTTCCCTGAGCATTGCAGCTTCCACAATACACACACACAAACACACCACGATGAGATGCTGACATGAATCTGGACAGAACGTTATCTGTACATCATCTTAACAACCAACAACAGACCACAGAAGATAACACCCAAGGAGGACCTTTAGGGCAGCGGTGAAGAACGCCAGCGAAACACCATCCTCAGACAACCAGGTGAACAACTGTGTCCTTTTGTGGAGTGGGAGGGAAGCAGGGAGATGCCTCAACCCAGGTGGTCCCCCAACAAAGGTGCGTCCATTGTTTGGCACGGCTGGAAGGTCATTCATCTCTTTGGACGGCAGCTACCTTACAAGGTAAGGCAAGAGCTCACTTCCGACCCAGGAGGGACGTTGAGAGGCAGTCAGCAACCCAGGTCTGTCTTCCCATGCCCTACAGCTGGCTTTGTGTCCCAAGTGCTCCAGCGGACTAATGTTCAACATGCTCCAGCATTCACACATCTGTCTCTATGCGCAACCGTTCCATGCGCTGAACATTGCGCTCCACGGCGCTGCGGTTGGTGATCTCCTGGGCACAGGTTTGTGGGAACCAGCCCTTCTCGCCGTCACGCAGACGCTCACCTAAGTACCAGCCTGGAAGGAGGAGAGAGAAGGGGCACTTGATCCACTGCTCCTGGCATCACATTCATTATTGCCTCCACTTCAAAAAGAGCAAAGTTAAGCTAAAACATTCAGTTGCAGCTTCTGCAAACATAAACACAAGCTTTTAATTTTCCATACAGGCTACAAAACTTTTTTTTTTTTTTAAATCATCCCTATATTCTACTAAAAGGTCAAACTGCAATTAAGAGTGCTTACTGGACAGGTGCGTTTCAACATTTTGGCAGCCAAACATTTGCAATCCTAGGCCTTGGTATAAAAAACATCATAACTGGAATAGTTCTAAGACTTCCCAATGCAAGATATTTATATCTCTTGTAGTACAAACATGATTATTTTAAAAAATCATTAAGAAGCCATACAGCAGCGTAACTGTACACACTTGCAATTTTCAAAAATCTATTGTGCTGTATATAGGATATGGAGGCTATCATTCATGGTTTCCTAAACTCAGTCTTTCTGAAGTGGCATTTTGTTAAGAGAGAAGAATTTTTTTCCTGTTTCTAATATTCACTGCACAGCTGGTGGCAATTTCTCTCTCTCTTCAAATCCTGAGGGCCACATTCCCTCATTAGTAATCTTCCAGGGGCCAGCAGCTGGCAGAGCCAGAGGCACAAATGGAGCTTAGATTCCAGCCATTAAAAAGCCAGAGATCTCTACACCCATCCAGGCAAACATCACAGCTGAAGGACATGTTTCAGCTGAGCAAAGACACTTGAGAAGAGTGTGGAGTAGGGTCTGGAGAGGTTCCTCACATACATACCCCACAATCACACCTACAAACTGGGCATAAAGCCCTGGCAGATCCTACTCCAGGTCCTCTCAAACCGGTCCCATAAATCTACCTCTGGAAACCCATCTCTTTCCAAAGCACACTTACCTTCCTCCCTGGTCAGGACTAGGACAACATCGCCTTGCTGGAGGGAAATCTCATCCGTCTGCTTGGCCAAGTAAGCCCGTACAATCTCCACCTGCTTGAGATCTTGGAGAAACAGAGGGACACAGAGTGAGTGGCAGCATGGAGACAAAAGGGGCAAAGAGAGAGAGAGAAGAAGAAGAAAGAGTGATGCAAGCATTCCTTTCTCCCGCCTATTCTTTCAGAAAAACCTTTGAATGATAAGAATTTAAGTGGGAGCTGCAAAGAAAAATAAATGCTGCAGCATGCACTCATGTCCTAGTAGAATTTCTATCGTTCTAGGTTCTTGCCAATCATGCCCTTCCCAAAGATACTACAAGGCACAGGTGGATAACCTATATCTGGCTAGCAGATTATTTCCCCACACCTGCCAGGCCAAAGCACACCATCACTTGATGTCACAGTGTCATTTAGTGGGAGATGGGTGGGACTGCCCACCTGTCACTCACCCAACAACGCGATGACATCAGGTGATGCTTTGCTTTGAAGCCCCAATAGTCAGGACTTCAAAGCACAGTGAAAACAACCTCACGCTGCTCTTGAACCTCTGAGAAGTGGAGGTTCAAGTAGCAACCCAGGGAGGGAGAAGCAGTCTTCATTCAGTGGAAACTGCTACCCTTTCCTGGAGTAAGACATGCTCCCACTGCCGATATTACTAAAATATTATTATTTTATGCACTGTGACTTGCCGTTGTTTTATTGATTATAATTTAGAAATTATTTATTATAATTGCCAAGTGGATTTCTGTTTAATTTTCATATGCTGATATTTAATATTATTCTATACCATTCTGATGGATTGTTGAATATTACTTTATTTTATATAAGTTGCTTATTTTAAAGTTATGTTCTCTTATCATATTTTTGTATTGGATTAGAATGTTATAAGGCGTACGTTCTTTGTTTCTTCAGCTTGTAAACCGCCTTGGGTATTGTGAAATAGAAATATGGTATACAAATTAAAAGTGAAATGAAAATCAGTCATTGGGTGGTTGGGAATGCGCCATTCTCCAGCAAAGGAACAATCAAGAGAGCTCATTATAAGCTCCTGGTATTATTCCTTCGGAGGCCTGCACTTACCTGACGTCAGGTGCAGGACAGGTGGGACTTGAGAGTCTTGACCCATGGACCTGAGATTCCCCACTCCTAGTCTAAGGAGCTGAAGTAGGGCAAAACCCACCACATCAACTTCCTATTTTCCTTTCTCCGCTCAACGGGCAACATTCAGCGGCTATTCACAATGCTCAATCCTCATTGGACCTTTCTTTTAAGAGTGTGTGCAAACCTTGAGATTATTCCAAGCTCTGTCAATACCTCCCCTCGCATCTCTCAGTGGCTCCATTTTTGTTGGCATGGGCCACCTGCGTTTGTTATTAGAGGAGCATCAAATCTGTGGGGATTGAACCTGAGGATTGATGCCTGCAAGGCAGGTCCCCAGATCTCGAGTTGTGGGGGCCCTCCTTCGTCCAGTTGAAATGCATTGGACCAAAGAAACGTGGGAAATATTGGGCAAAGATATAGGGAATGCTTCTGTCAAAGTCCCCCTCTCCCTCTCTTCCTTTCCAACCGCACAGTTTTCAGTATGGCAGGCAAAAGACTTTCGAGAGCGATAGTTATTCCCACACTGCATTAACATTCAGATTCTGGCTGACTTCTGGGGAGCAGGCAGAGATTTGGGGAAGCTGGTCAAGCAGGGAGACTTTGAGACATTAGTGAATCAATCACATACGGAGATTCCGGCTGCTGAATCAGGCCAATGGCTCAATTAGTCCAGCATCCTGTTCTCACAGTGGCCAAACAGATGCTCATTATGGGAAGCCCGCAAGCAGGACCTGAGTGAAACAGCAACTCTCACCGCCTGCAAGTCACAGCGACTGGTATTCAGAAGATACTGCCTTAAATAGTGGAGGGAGAACACGGCTTTTAAGTTCAGATCCATAGCTTGCATTGACATGAATTTAGATGAAACTTGCTTTCTATTTTGATGCCATGGTTTTTGTTTTCTGTTTTGAGGCTATGCTATGGTTTCATTATACAGTGGTACCTCGGGTTAAGAACTTAATTCGTTCTGGAGGTCCATTCTTAACCTGAAACTGTTCTTAACCTGAAGCACCACTTTAGCTAATGGGGCCTCCCGCTGCTGCTGGAGCGTGATTTCTGTTCTCATCCTGAAGCAAAGTTCTTAATCCGAGGTACTATTTCTGGATTAGCGGAGTCTGTAACCTGAAGTGTATGTAACCCGAGGTACCACTATACATCAAGGCTTCTCTATCTGGCTCTTGGAACTACAGTGGTACCTCACGTTAAGTACTTAATTCATTCTGGAGGTCTGTACTTAACCTGAAACTGTTCTTAACCTGAAGCACCACTTTAGCTAATGGGGCCTCCCGCTGCTGCCGGAGTGCGATTTCTGTTCTCATCCTGAAGCAAAGTTCTTAATCTGAGGTACTATTTCTGGGTTAGCGGAGTCTGTAACCTGAAGCGTCTGTAACCTGAAGCGTCTGTAACCCGAGGCACCACTGTATTGACTTTCCATTCCGATACTTTCCATTAACTGAACATCAAGCACTTTGGGTTTTCCTTGGAAAGCAAACCAGCATATTAAAATGAAAAAAATGCTGGTCTGTATAACCTGTTGGCTTCCTGCCTAGCCTGCTGCCAACAAAGAGAGGGGCTGCATCTCAGTGACAGAGCAGATGCTTTGCATGCAGAAGGTCCCAGGTTCAATCCCTAAGCAAGTCCAGGCAGGCTTGTAACCCTGAAGAGCCACACTGCACATAACAGAATCAAAGAACTGTGGAGTTGGCAGGCACCCTGAGGGTCATCTAGTCCAACCCCCTGCAACACAGGAACCTTCTGCCCAAGTGGGGCTCGAACCCATGACCCCAAGATTAAAAGTCTCATGCTCCACCAACTGAGCTATGAGTTAGATGGACCAAAGGGCAGGCTCAGCATAAGGCAGCATCCCGGGGGTGGAGGAATGAAAGTGCCCCATTTCCTGCAAACACTGAACATTTGCAACAACAGAAAGTCAACTTGCTATATTCTCTCGAACTGAGCTCTTCCCTAGACAGCCAAACGCCGCATGAACCACCAGAGGGAGCACCAATCTCAGTTCCTTTTTGGATTTTTGCTCTCTGCACTCAAGGGTGGAAAAAGCCACATTCCTTGTTTAGCACTGTCCTCCCCACTCCTCTCCCCCTCCCCCTCAGATCAGGGAGAACAGAGGGCCAGGTATCTCTTAAAGGGGCAGAGCCAAGACCAACACCCTCCCTTGCAGAGAACCAGAACTGCCTGAACGGCTCCCCTCTTTCAGGTAAGGGGTTGGAATACTCCCAGATTCTTTTGATCCTTTGCAGTGAGAAGCACCTTCAGGCTCGCTTCAAAACTAGCCCAATACATTAGCCTGTTCTTTGAGGAAGCAGGTGAGAACATCCAGAAGGTGCTTGTTTTAAAAATGTAACTTGAAACATCATCTATGTTTAGATGCCAAGCAAAAACCCTTTATTTTAATCCATGATTTAGACCCTTTATCTGGAAGACAATAGGTATTACTTATGGCTCCTTTTTTTAATCTTCCAGTGGGGTGGGGGGCTCTGGGTCTGACCTGCCTTTTATATATAAAACGGACAGGTGGTTTTAGGTTTTCATTTGGTTCTGGTTGTTATACATCGGGCCTAACATTTGCACCATTTTGTAAGCTGCTTTGGGTCACCTCTTATGGAAAAAGCAACCGATAAATGCTAACACTGCTAACAACGACGTTAATAATAATTATGATGCTGCTGCTGTTAATAGCTTGCGACAGGCACGGCCAAGGTGCTGCCCTCCAGACATCATGAGACTACACCTCCCATCAGCCCCTGCCAGCACGGTCAATGGTCAGGGATGATGGGAGTTGTAGTCCAGCAAAAACACCCAGAGGGCAGCATGTTGGCTAGCCCTGGGCTTAGGGCCTCAGGATGGACTATACCCAGTGATCTCCATCCACTAGAACAAGGGCTTTTGCAGTCGCAGATAAGGCAAGTTTTAATACTGCACAACAGAGGAATCCAAAGGAAGGCGCAGGAGCTTGTTGTGCACTCTAGAAACCTGCTTAAATGTTCTCTTGGGCAACAACATTCCACAGTTGCAAAGGATTTTGCCAGTGGAACCAGTGTACCATTAAATAGAACAGACGCCTTGGGAAAGTGGTGGACTCTCCTTCACTGGAGGTTGGACGGTCATCTATTGGGGATTCTTTGGCTGAGATTCCTGCATTGCAGGGGGTTGGACTAGATGACCCCCCAGAACTCTACAGTTCTATGATTCTATAAGCACAGCACTGGATGCAACCACTTCATCCAGCCCTGGAGGGGGACAATGACATCTTTAGAATCCAACAACAAGGGGGTGGAGGGAAGGAGCTCCAGCCCTGTTTTAGAGCCATGATTCAAGACTCAATTCAGCTCTCCATAAATACAGCAAGTTCTTTTTAAGAGAAGCACTAGATTTTCAAATAATAATAATAAGTTGTACCTCCTTTGTTGGCAGTGTCCTTCTCCTTGTCTTCCCTGTGCATCAAAGCTCTGATCCATCGGGCACGGTCGCTCCTGCCAAAAGCACAGAATTCAAAGGATTTACAGAGCAAATATATTGTTATGAGTTTGGCGAGTGTGCAGTCAGTCTGGATGATACCCCCAAGTCCCTTCCAGTTCTTGAGATCCTGTATCTGTCTGGGTAGAATGCATAAAAGCAAGCTTGCCAAACCAGTTCCTTCATAAAGTCAATGGCTTTGGCTGTTAAGTACCGTGATTTAGCATGACCATAGAAGTTGCTCTGTTGCCATAGAGGAAAACAGGTGGGCTGCTACATTAGAGAACAATAGGCCAGAGTTTGGCGAAGGAGAGTGAAGCAGTCTGGAAGCTGGATACACAGAGACTTACTTGCTCCATGCTGGACTTTGCAGCTTCCCAAAGGAAACCTAATGGAGAAGCAATATCTGTTGGGAAGTTAATGCTGTGAGCCCTTCCATCCTATGCTCAGGTTGTATAGATGTGCAAATAAAACAATATATTCTAAAGGAATCACCATCTCTGGTGACTTTCATTCCAAGGAAACTGAACCCTGGGAAAAACCCTTAGGACCCCTGGTGTCTCTCACTCCTCAGAGACTGGGGTGGCATGTAACAACATAAGCATTATGGGATGTATTCTGTGTTAGTCCTACTCAAAGCAGACCCACTAAAAGCAACGGACCCAAGTTAGGCATGGTCGTTAATTTCAGTGGGTCTATTCTGAATATTTGTTTGTTTGTTTGTTGCCCATCTGACTGGTTTGCCTGAGTCACTCTGGGCGGCCTCCAACAGATTAAAACATCAAGCACAGTAAAATATCATTAGTAGGACTAAGGTTGGCTACAATCCTATATATTTAATGCAATTACTGTATTTTTTTGCTCTATAAGACTCACGTTTTCCCTCCTAAAAAGTAAGGGGAAATGTGTGTGCGTCTTATGGAGCGAATGCAGGCTGCACAGCTATCCCAGAAGCCAGAACAGCAAGTGGAATTGCTGCTTTCACTGCACAGCGATCCCTCTTGCTGTTCTGGCTTCTGAGATTCAGAATATTTTTTTCCTTGTTTTCCTCCTCCAAAAACTAGGTGCATCTTGTGGTCTGCTGCGTCTTATTGAGCGAAAAATACGGTAATCCCACTGGGAATAGGTCCCCAAGGTGCCTTGCAAATATAAACCCCACTACCTTCAGGCTTAGACAAATATAGAGGAATGAAGGATGGAAGCGAAGAGGAAGAAAGCAAACTCAAGATCAGGAATGAGGAACCTGTGTCCCCCAGATGTTGTTGGACAATGCCCATACTGCCTGGCCATTGGTCATGCTGGCAGGGAACGATGGGAGTTGTAGTCCAACAACATCCAACAACTTCTCCACCCCTGCACTAGCTCTTTGTTACACAGTTCCTGCAAAGACTGGTTGGATTGGTGGTGGAGCATCTGCTTTGCGTGCAGAAGGTCAGAGGTTCAATCCTCGACGTCTGCAGGTAGGGGCTGAGAATGTCCCCCGTCCGAAACCCTGGAGAACAACTGCCAGTCCGTGTAGATGATACTGAGCTGGATGGACACAAGGCTTCATCCCATGAAGGCACAGAGGGCTGAAGGGTAGGGAAAGTCAGGTGCAAACAGCCACTCCCCACAAGCAAGAACAGAAATCTCTCCAGTGCCCACCTTCCCCTTCACCTCTGCTTGATCACGTGCCCTCTACCCACTGGGCACAACTGCCCTGGAAGGTGCCCGGTGATGCCAGCCCTCTGCACCAATCAAACCAATACTCACAGGGATTCTGCGGCCAGCACTATCGCCTCCCGCTTGCCTTCGCTGTCCTTGTTCATGGTCACACGGAACAAGTGGCCAAAGCGGAATGCACCACTCGAACCCGGCTTGCCGGGGGGAGAAGAGGGAGCATCCGGGTTTTCAATTTTGTCCACCGAAAGCTGGTCAAGCATGGCGTAGTTGAGAACCATGTAGCTCTCCTCGCTGCAAGAAATAAAAGAGAGCCGGTGAAAGGGACCGGGCATGAGACAAGAGCCAGGAAGAATTGTGTACAGCGGAATTGCACTAACGTTATTTGCTACAAAATGGTTTGTGAACAATGAAAGTCCACCCAAGGCAACTGTGATCATTAACTTCCTTCTATAATGGTGGCAGTAGAACTTCCAGATGTTGCTGGACTACAACTCCCATAACCCCCAACAACTGGGCATGCTGGGTGGGGCTGATGGGATTTGGAGTCCAGCATATTCTGAAAGGCATGAGGCCAGGGAAGGCTGTAAATGAATTAATCTACTGGCTGTGCTGTTTTTGACAGCTTGGGACAAAGCATCCTAAAATATCCCACAGTTCCCTCCAAAGTTCCCTTCTCATCATCATCATCATTTGTTTGTATTCTGCCTTGGCTGTTGCAACCTCCCTGTGGAACACCCTCCCATCAAATGTCAAGGAGATAAAGAACTACACGACTTTTAGAAAACATCTGAAGGCAGCCCTGCATCGGGAAGTTTTTAATGTTTGATGTTTTATCGTATTTTTAATATTCTGTTCGGAGCTGCCCAGAGCGGCTGGGGAAACCCAGCCAGAGGGGCGGGGTATAAATAATAAAATTGTTATTATTATACCATAACGTTATTCCATTCTCAAGGCGGCTTACAACTTGGAAAGATTTACATGATTACAACAATGTAACAAAAGCAGTTGTGAGCCATAAATAAAAACATATCGAAATGTGCGCCACAAAGTTAAACAATCCCCACACAAGTCATAATAAGATCTACAAATAAAGATACAAAAAAAATCATAAAGAACATCAAAATTAACAGCTCCAAAATTAAATCTTGACCCCAACAAACACCCCTAATCAATACCCCACCCCAAGAGTCTGTAAGCATCCCAAGAAGCAGGTTGTGAAGGACTCTCAACCAAGATGGTATTGGCCTCTTTGCCAGCCTCAACTTTTGTAGCTGGAGTCAGTCAGTCAGTCAGTGCCCCTCCCTCCCAACCAGGCAGAAAGAGGCCAGCAAGGAAGGGAGCTGGTCTTGCAGGATTCACATTGAAGAGCAAGATGGTCCTTCCTTGGGGAAATTCTTCGTTCAAGGCTCTTTGCTTGCTGTAGGACAGGGCTGGAGAACCTGCGGGACCTCCAGGCGTGGATAGACTCCAACTCCCATCAGGCCTAGCCAGCACAATCAATGGTCAGGGGTGATGGGAGTTGTAGTCCGGCAGCATCTGGAAGACTGCAGGCCTCACAGCCCTGCTATAGAATGATTTATAAAATGAAATGAAAAATCAGTTGCTCTGGCATTCCGCAGTCAATTCCAGAGAGAGTGACTGAAGCCTGATGTGTGAGAGAGGAAGAGTTTTCCCATGACAGACAGAAGCCTGGCTCCTCTCTGTGCCAAAATTCCCATTAAAGAATCATTTGGGAATGGGCAGGCCACAAACCACGTCCCCCTCGGCAGGCACTTCCCACATAAATCAGCCGCTCACCATTCCACAGCGAGCAGGCAAGAGGCATTCCAAGCAGGGTGGGGGGAGATTTCCCCCCAAATGACATAAAAAAAGAATGAGGGAAGGAAAAAACTAGTGAAATAGAGTCTTGGCCAGGATGGCGAATCTCAGAGAAGGAATGTAGGGACAGGGCCACAGTCCCGCAATCTTGCAAAGAGAAAAAACGAAACAAAAAACCAATGGACAGCGTCTAATGACTTCACATTCCACAAGGAATTCTTCAGCTCCCTCCTTATCGCAAAAGACGGTTCTCAAGTGTTTCTGCACACCAGCGCCTGGCCAGAAACATCCTCGCCACCCGACCCCAAGTGACCGAAAAACATCCCGAAACTTCAAAACATCAAATGTTAACCCACTGAAGGGGCAATGGTTATAATATGAAATAATCTTTGGGTCCATGGGCACATTTGCAAATCTGAGGTAACTTGTCATGGGCATCACATGACCACACACACACACATCGTGCTTGCAGGCTGCCCATAATGAGAGAGCCACAGGATCTCCATCCAAAACCCAATGTCGGGGGGGGGGGGAGAGAAGAGAATAAGATGCATCCCACTGACATCAGAACACACTCCTCTGAAGAAGCAGCCATTTCCCTCCATCCAGCAAATTTGTGACGTGATTGATGGGTTTTTTCCATTTGAAGTTCTGAGCAGCCCTCAAGATAGTCTGCAAAGCCTCTTTCCGTCAGGGTTTTCCCCCACTGCTGATGCCTCTAGGCATTAACCAGAAACCCTCACACATCAGGCAAGAAATCTACACAGACTTTTCTTGGATTTTACCTCAGTCGCTAGGAAGCAGGCCAGAGACTCAACCCCTCTTAAAAGGAATCTACCTAATCTACCTAATTTTCTTTTGTATCACAGAAGGATATCAATAGTGAGACTAAGAGAGAATTAAACCAGGTTGACCAGGGAGACTTGGGTTCAAATCCCTGTTCAGCCCTTTGTCATGTGCCCCATAGGTGTGGAGGGTAGAAACATAAGAACAGGCCTTTTTAGTGGTGGCTCCCAGGTTTGTGGGATGTTCTCCCCAGGAAAGCACACCTGGCATGATCACTTCAATCCTGGAAGGATAAGCACCCAGCGCCTGTTAATGCAATGGTTTGAGGACTTACAATACCCTTGCTACATTTAAAATATTTCTTATAAATATCATTTTCATGTGGACAGCTATCTGGACATTTGGATGGCTAACACAGATTTGCATATTTTAAATTAAGATGGATGTGTCAATGGCTATTGTATTTTCAGCGTGAGATGATGAGGGTTTTTTTAATTTCCCATTTTCCCTCTGTTTTTATTTCTGTGTTAAATTTGCTATAAATATTAATTTTAAAAGAGGCATCATCAGGGACTGAGATGGTGTTTGCCAAATGAATGAAGCAGAGCCTTGTTGAAGTGCACTGCGAGCGACTTCATGAGGTAAAAAAAAATCACGCACAAAATAAAATCCCCCCTACGTGAGGTGAAGTTTGTTCCACTAAAAATGGCCTCTCTCACACCTCTTTTTCTTGGTGATGATCAGGACATCATTGAACACAAAGAGATAGCAGTTCCCACGTCCAGAGCCCTTCCGGAAAATTCCACCTTCTTCTGCCAGAGGCATGGAGAGTTCACCCCTTTTCAGCAGCCACCGGGAAGCAGAAATCAGCGGGAAGTTCTGGGGAAAGACCCAGGGTGACATTGGTCAATATAGCAAATTCAACCAAAGGGTTATAACAAGTACATCATGGAACCAGATACATTCAGAGTTAGCCAGGGGCAAATCCAAAATGGCACTGTTCCCCAGACCGCTCCCAACTTGAGAAGCAGCCCCTCCTCAAAATACTCCCTTCCTTTTGTCTCCAAAAGGCCCAGGTGAACACAAGGCCTAGCAACAAGGTGGGCTCTCTGGGTGTAAAGGTGAAGTTCTAGCAACGGCCAACAACTTGGATGTTTTTAAAAGGGAGTTAGACACAACAGCCCTGTGAGGTAGGTTAGGGAGAAGGACAGCAGTTGGCCCAAGGTCACCAAGGGAGGATTCGCAGGCCCCTAAGTCCAACCGGTATGCCACAACTTGCCATCAAGCCTAAGGGGTAGAGCCGCGCTGGGGGAAAAAGATTTACACCTTCCAAATCTCACACCTTGATCTTTCCAAACTCCAGCTGCTTCTGCAACGTGTACATCTGCTCGGTTCTCTCCATGGTGTGGGCACCCTCGTTGCACCTCTTCACGAGCTGGGGTGTAAAGGAGAGGCAGAAACATACTTTTGTAAATGCAATATTGTCTCTATCGTCATCTCCTGCACAAGTGGGAGCTGCAGGAAAAATAATAATAGTGCAACACAGGGGTGCTTCTGTGCACCTCTCCAGCCTGCCAGCCCTAACCCTCCTTGTGACACTCCATTCCATGACTTCGGCTGCATTCTATTTCCATCCCACCTGGTTTTCTAGGTCTCCCCCCTCCAGTCCATCAGTCAGCATTCCATGCTCACTGAACATGCTTAGTCCTCACTGGGCTGCTTCCCTCCTCCCTTTTTGGGGGGGGGGACAGGTATGGGTTGGGTACATCTGCAAAAGTTGGGATTCCCCAGAGTTTGCTGATCCTTCCACTTTTTGCACATGTGTAATTCAGTTTTAGCTACATCTGCAACAGCACTCAAACCCCAAATGCTAGAATTAGAGCAGGGATGTCCAAAGCCTGTTTTGGGGGCCTAATCTGGCCCACCGGTCGGTTTATTTCCTGGGGTAAAATCCTGGTCGGCCCTCTTGGCCCTTCACTTCATCAAATCTGGCCCTCTTTTTGGACACCACTGAATTAGAGGAATGGGTTGCTAAAGTGTGTCTTGCGGCAATCTCCTGTTAGAGGTTTGACAGGAACAGCCCTTCCCTAATTTCAGACGCCTCTTGAAAACTATTGTGGCCTTGATAAGATGAATTTTTCTATCAGAATTTATTGATTGGTTCCAGACCACACATGAAAGCCCTAGCTGCCAAGAAAGCATCTCCTTGTTTTTTCCTTCATTAGATTAAACATTGAGTGACCAATTCTGGGGCTCCCCCAAACAACCAGTTTATGGAGCATTCATCCTCATATGCTTGCGGGAAGCTTAAGTGGAGGTTAGACTATGGACTATGTCCAGTCCTTATTGAGCATCCATTCCAATTTGCTCTATGGAGCATTTGTTCCCATTTTCAGGAGGGTTATATGGCAATAAACATTCACCCTGATTTGCTTGTAAGGTGTTTGTTAATGGGAAGACATGTAAACACCTTACAAGCAAATCACAATTCTCAACAAAATTCTCAACCAATTTGCCTCCCATCACTTTCCTAACTGCAGAAAAGCCCGTTTCATTCTTCAAAAAATGTGATCACACAAAGAGAGCTGGAGAAAGTCTCTTACCTTACTGATGGCCTTCAAAGCCTGAGTCGCTGCTTCATAAGCTCTACTATGCATCTGGGTTTTCTGGCAGACAGTCTGAAATGGAACAGAACATCCACAACACTTTTTTCCCCCTTCCAAAACTATTGGCTGTCCCAACCTGCAACCTGTTCTTGACAGTCCACTCAGCTAAGGGAGGGGCATATCTGCCAATTTTAGTCTCGGGGTTTCCCCCCCACCCCAATCTTGAGCTCAGTTTGCCACAATTCTACATCAATATGCAATTTTAAAAATAATTCTCATTAATTATTCCACCTTACTTCCTCTAATATACACTTTTTTTGCAATGCATTTTTTGCCTAACAGAAAGTATTTTGTTATATGTTGTTTTCATGAATAAATGTATCATGATGCACACATGAATTTCTGGAAATATTGTTTGGATGGAGAATAGCAAATTTTGAAGGATGACTGTGTTTCAGTTTGCGTATAGTTTTGGTAAATGCCTAAACCAAGTAGAATAGATCTGATCAGAACACACAGAACATTACTATTAGAATTGCAGGATTTTAGGTATATCATTCAGTCTTTTCTTCGGAAACATGTAGCAATCTTAAAGAACATGCAGATCAGTGAGGGGCCCAGTAAATCTGGGGCCAAGGGTCAGGTATGAATGAATGAATGAGAAGCATAAACAGCTTCCTCCCCAGGGTCTAGCAGCGTGGCCTGTTAATGAGGTTCGAAGGTCAGAGGAAAGAACCCCAGCTTTCAGCCTGATGAATGGTAGACATTAATATTGTGTTTTAATGCTGCAACCCCCCCCCCCACGGACGACAGACAGGTAAACAACAACAGTGTGCCCCTCCGCTTGCTCTTACATCCATCAGAAGAGGCAGGCGAGTAACTCTCTGCATGGGGTTGATAAGGAAAGAGATCAAAGGAAGGCTGCCACACTCTGGTTTCTGCTCAATGTGTTTCAGGGTCTCTTTAAAGGCAGGACTCGTGGTTCTGTAACAGAACAGAAAACACCACTTTAGCTTCTTGTGACCAATGCAATGCATGCTTTTTACACTTTAAATGGATAACCTGAATACACACACACACCAAGTCACCTCCTGGTGAAAGAAACTACCTACCTTGGATTAAGGGTTGAATCCAAATTAGTCCTGCTCAGAGCTGACCTACTGAAGTCAATGGGCATGACTAACTTAGGGTCATTAATTTCAGTGGGTCTACTCCGAGTAGGATTAAGTTGGCATTCAGTATCACTTACTTAAAGGTAAAGGGACCCCTGACCATTAGGTCCAGTCATGGCCGACTCTGGGGTTGCGGCACTCATCTCGCTTTATTGGCTGAGGGAGCCGGCGTACAGCTTCCAGGTCATGTGGCCAGCATGACCAAGCCGCGTCTGGCAAACCAGAGCAGCGCACGGAAACGCCATTTACCTTCCTGCCAGAGCGGTACCTATTTATCTACTTGCACTTGACGTGCTTTCGAACTGCTAGGTTGGCAGGAGCAGGGACCGAGCAATGGGAGCTCACCCCGTCGAAGGGATTCGAACCTGCCGACCTTCTGATCGGCAAGTCCTAGGCTCTGTGGTTTAACCCACAGCACCACCCACATCCCTTATAACTTACTTAGAATCATACAACTATAGAGCTGCCAGGCATGTTTGTGTTATTATTCCCATATCGCAGATGGAGGAGACTGAAGGCTAAGGCCACTTGGGTTCATAGCAGGGGCAAGATTCTAAGTCTCTACACCAAGCCACATGGGTTGGACTTTAATACACCAAAGCTTATAAATAATCTTTTAAGTTTGGGGGCGGAGGATGACTGCAGTCACTTACAACAGCTTCTGAAGGGTCCTCTGTTGGTAGACTTCATTCGAACAATAGATGACGTATGGATTAAAATTATTAGTTGCGTGAGTCTCTACGATGTCGCTGATGTCCGGGATCAGGACGTTCTCCTGATGCCTTTTCTCCAAGTCCTCAAAAAAGCTAGAGGTACAATAAATAAGAGGGAGGTTGAGAAACTGAGTTTCATGGTCAGCCTCCTCTGCACATGTTTCAGCTTGTCAATATCCTCCTTAAACTGTGGTGCCCAGAACAGTTAAGCAGATCCAAAGGTGAACAGTCCTTCTAGCTGCCAGTGTTGATGGTTTTTGGCTGCTACCAAAAGGGGCCCGGAAATTCTTTGTGTTTTGATTCTACATCTAAATCTCTCTCTCTCTCTCTCTATATATATATTATTAATTTTTCAGCATATCATTTTCAACAATAATTAAACATACTCTTATTCAATTTTTTTGACTTTCATCAATCACATCTGAAAATTTTCCAATCTATTCACTTAATTTACATTTCTTACTTCCACTATTACATTTAAATCTCATAATTAATATCTCTATTCTTTCTCTACTTTGCAATATTTCATATACAGTGGTACCTCTGGTTACGTACTTAATTCATTCTGGAGGTCTGTTCTTAACCTGAAACTGTTCTTAACCTGAAGCACCATTTTAGCTAATGGAGCCTCCTGCTGCCACCGCCGTGAGATTTCTGTTCTCATCCTGAAGCAAAGTTCTTAACCCGAGGTACTATTTCTGGGTTAGCGGAGTCTGTAACCTGAAGCGTATGTAACCCGAAGTACCATTGTATTTCTCCTTATAAAATTTCTTCATTACAGTTGCTCTTCAAATAGTTCGTATATTTCTTCCAATCTTCTGTGAATCTCTGGTCTTGCAGGTTTCAAATCCTTCCTGTCATTTTATCTAATTCTGCGTAGTCCATTAATTTTGTCTGCCATTATTCTTTCATCGGGATTTCTTCTTGCTTCCATTTCTGGGCTAACAATACTCTTGTCCGATTCTACATCTAAATCTCTATATAGCCTGAACAGTGCCAACCGTGAGGAGAGATGAACCATCTGCTTAGTGATGGCGCTAATCTTAATCCTACCCTTCCCTTCAAGGATCTCTGGAGGAATCCTCACAACCACCTTGCCAGGTAGGTCAAAAAAGGTCAGTAGCCAGCTCAAGGTCACCCAGTGTTGCTTTCTAGCTGAGCAGGGATATAAATTTGGTTGTCACCAAGTTCAACACTCTTAACTCAGGGATGGGGAGCCTGTTATAACTGCTACACCACACAGGCAGCAGCCTGAGGTTTGAGATTTACCTCTTGCTGGCAGCCAGGATATCCCCAACATTGGAGAAGAGGTGGTGGTGATCCGTCTGATTCATAGTGTCCTTCAGTGCCTCTGACTTCATGAAGTGGTTCACCAGGATCTCCAGGCTGCGCATGTAGGAATACTCAGAGGTAATGATCTCAAAGATCGCCTGCAGGGGGGAAAGGATGGAGAGACAGAAAGGTGAACATGAGTGGACAGCCCTTTTAAGCTGATTGTTGATCATAGCTGATCATGGAACTGTAGAGGTGGAAGGGACCCCCCAGGGTCATCTAGTCCAACCCCCTGCAATGCAGGAATCTTTTGCCCAATGTGTAAGTCAGACCTACAACACTGAGGTTAAGAGTCTCATGCTCTTCCAACTGAGCTGTTCATCCAGCTATGTGGCAGGGGTGCATTTTCAGATGTTGGTCTGCAGCCACCAACATTGGCACCATTAATGGTGCCATCTGGATAGAACTGTGGGCAAAAATCTGGGGCTCTAATCTCCAGAATGATGAGGCAGATCCCCCTCCCCGCAAAAAAATCCAGCAACCCACTTTAGCGATCTGACATTTATTGTTTATGTTCTGGCAATGCATTCTATGTCAGGCTGCCTTTGAAGATGATTTGGAAACCGCAGTTAATACACGATTCAGCAGCCAGATTGTTGACTAGGCAGCATGGTCAGAACACATAACACTGATTTTGGCATGACTGCATTTGTTTCCTGGCTCCATTCAAAAATCATAGTTTTGACCTATAAAGCCTGATGTGGCTCAGGACCTCAGGAACTGCCTCCTGCCCCATGAACTGAGCCAGACCCTGTGATCCTAATCTGAGGCTCTTCTTCGCAAGTGCCCCTCCTCCATGGGAGGTTCAGAGGGTGGCAACAGAAGACTGGGACTTTTCGGTGGTGGCCCCCTCCACTTGTGGAATCCTCTCCCTCCAGGGAGGCACGCCTGAAGCTATCTCTGGTCAATTTTCAGGTGCTAGGCAAAGACTCTTCTATTTACATGACATTAGTGGGGTGGGGTCTGCAAGTCCTGATCTGTTTGGTCTGTATTTTTAAATCTCCACAGCGTGTTCTTATTGGTTTTAATGTCAGCTGCTTATGGTCCCTCCTTCAGAAAAGTGACTAACAAATAAAAGAGAAAGGGAAAAGAAGAGAAGTCCTCTATAAGACTATTAAGCGAAGTACTGTATTTTTCGCTCTATAGGACGCACTTTTTTCCCTTCAAAAATGAAGGGGAAATGTGTGTGCGTCCTATGGAGCGAAGACGCCATAGCCCCGCGACCCTCTCCCGGCTGGAGAGGTGACGGGCGGCTATGGCAGGAGCCTCTACAGCCCCGCGTCACCTCTCCAGCCGGGAGAGCGCGCGCGGGGCTAAAGCAGCCCCCCGCGACCCTCTCCCGGCTGGAGAGGTGACGGGCGGCTATGGCAGGAGCCTCTACAGCCCCGCGTCACCTCTCCAGCCGGGAGAGCACGCGCGGGGCTAAAGAAGCACCCCACGACCCTCTCCCCGCTGGAGAGGTGACGCGCGGCTATTGAGTCTCTTGCCATAGCCGCCCGTCACCTCTCCAGCCGGGAGAGCGCGCGCGGGGCTAAAGCAGCCCCCCCGCGACCCTCTCCCTGCTGGAGAGGTGACGCACGGCTATGGCAGGAGCCTCTCCGCTGCGCCTTTCCGCTGCTCCCTGAACTGCTCTTTGGGGCTGGTGGTGGGCTTCCCCGCCAGCCCCAAAGAGCAGGTCGAAGGAACCTGAAGCCTGGAGAACGAGAGGGTCAGTGCACACCGACCCCTCTCGCTCTCCAGGCTTCCAAGGTGGCCGCCTGAACGCACCTTAACGGCACCTTGTTTTAGAGCGGGAAAACAAGAGAGGAAAGTTCTCCCCTCTCTGCACAGCGCCTCCTGCCACTTCGCTGAAGGGGCGCTGGGCAGAGAGGGGGAGAATTTTTTTTTCTTGTTCTCCCCCCTCTAAAACAAAGTGCGTCCTATTGTCCGGTGCGTCCTATGGTGCGAAAAATACGGTAATCTTAAGCAGGGAATAAAGAGAGACACAGCAGCTTGAAAGGAACTCGTTGTTTAGGAGAATTCACAAGGCATTCAAAACCATGCCACTTCTCCAATTTCCACAGCATTTTGCGCAACATACTGCACTTTTCCATGTATAAGACAAGCTTTTCTTCCTTAAAAATTATATTAAAAATTGGGGGTCACGTTATCCACATTGTGGGGATGAGTGATTGGTTGCTGCCGTGAGCCGGAGATAATTAGTGGCGTCGCGTGCAAATCGCAGCGTAGGTCAGGCAGGTGAGTGAATTTTGACAATTTCCCCTAAAAATAATAATAATAATCTCCCCCCATTAATTTGGAGTCCCCCAAAATACATGGGGAAAAATACATTACTCTTCTAACGCCAAGCAGGAACCTTGTTTGAGCCTCCTAGCTTCCCTTACCTCCTGCCGTTTGCGCTCTTCTGGGGATATCTGCTCCAGGATTCCAGCTTCCTGCACCTGCAGAAGACAAATTCTGAGTGACTTGCAGACTCATTGATAGTTTTCAGATATCCCTTCTGTGGAACCACATGACCAAGGACCCCACAAGTGGCCATGGGGGTGCAAGAAGGGCACTTAAAAAAAAAAAAAGCAAGTCACATAGAATTCAATGGTGTTTCCTCCCTGGTAAGTGGTTATAGGATTACAGGGTGCCCATTTTTATGTTAAGAACTCATTTTATGATGATGATGATGATGAAGAAGAAAAAGAATCCATCTTTTGTTTTTAGAGCATGTGAAAAAAGTTACAGCAATGAAACTACGAAGTATTGAAGACAAAACAAATCTGCCCCTCTTCACTGCCACTACATATTATCCCAGAGCTAAGTCACTCACACTGAACAAGCCAGATTGAGTTCCCCATTATTTTTGTTATTTATTTATATAACAATAAAAAATATCTAACCCAGGGGTGGGGAACATCAGGCTTAGGGCTGGATGTGGCCCTCTAGGCAGCTCCGTCTGGCCCTTGGAACTCCCCAGGCCACACCCCTAGTTGGCCTTGCTTCACCTTCTCCTTAGGTGTTTTTGCCTGGCTGGAATGTGCCCTTGAACTCTGATCATGCCTCTTGTTTAGCTGGATGGAGGAGGGAGACTGGCAGTGTGTAGAAATCAGCCTACTGTACAAAGGTAAAATTTGCATCAGTTGCTCCTCCCACTTTAGCCTCTGGCCCCACCCACCATATGGCCCTCAGGACATTGTTCAGAAGCCTATGTGGCTCTCAGGCTGAAAAAGCTCCCCCTACTTTTACTGGTTTAAATAAAACAATGCAACGTATTCCTTCCAAAATGCCAATTATATCAAAAATTAAAAACAAGCCAACATAGAATATAATCAAAATACAAATAAAATCTGAAAAGTTAAAACATATATAATCAAAGTACATGTTAGCAAAATGCATGCCTGGGGAGGCTAGAAAGGGTTTGGTAGGTGCAGAAAACAATACAGCCTAATAACAATGGGCAGGGAGTCCTGGGGCCACACTAATGGGTTGATTCCTTGCAAATGCAGAACAAACATTACGTGGCGCTTGTAGAGTTACTAGGGAGCTCCTTGCTCAGGGAGTTTCCACTCTCACCTGCAACGCCCCCAGACAAAGCTTGAAAAGAAAAGCGGAAAAACATCAGAGCTGCGTTTCAGCAAACTCCTGCCAGGTGAAGCAGATGAACTTTGGAACCATCTCAGGAGGAAATGTTTAGTTGTTGTTTTTTTAAAAAAGTGGAGGAGGACAATACCAGGTCAGATAAGAAAAGGCAGGTGAGCCTCAGGGGCAAAGCCACTCCTTCGGGTCACATCATCCCAACTGAATGTTGCACCATCCATTTCTCCAAGGCAATTCTGTCTGCTGCAGGGGAACTTCTATTGAGAGTCACACAGTAGCCAAAACACACATGTCGAAAAGGGTGCGGGAGACAGGTGTGCAAATATTGACTGAGGCAGAAGAAATCCACCTGAAGTACATTCCTGGAACACAGGACGCTCCCTAATCCAGAGTTAGAACACTGTAGTGGCTCTCCAGGATTTCAGACAGAGATCTCACCCAACCTGACCTGGAGATGCTGGGGATTGAACCTGGGACCTTCTGCATACCACTAAGTTATGACTTCTGCTGCTCCACTTCTGAGAATTCAGTGTTGGTGTATACCAGTACAGCATTCTGCGGCTTGAGCACATATAGTTCCCACATCAAACTGCCCATGTGCCGAGGCCATCAGTCAAGGAAGGGGGCAAACCAGCAAGACGGTCTTTCCCAGTTGTAGTACTCTCCCCAACAAGTCTTGCCTGGCATCCACACTGCTATATTTTCAGTAGTAGGGAAGGATCCCAGAGACCCACTGTCAGAAAGAACTCATTTGAAGGAGCGGCAACTCATTTATGAACCCTCCTGGTCCCCCTACATCATTGGCACCACATTTATATTCAGTGGGCTATGTTGCAAAGGTCCGTATAGTTATAGCTATGGTTTTCCCAGTAGTGATGTATGGAAGTGAGAGCTGGACCATAAAGAAGGCTGATCGCCGAAGAACTGATGCTTTTGAATTCTGGTGCTGGAGGAGACTCTTGAGAGTCCCATGGACTGCAAGAAGATCAAACCTCTCCATTCTTAAGGAAATCAGCCCTGAGTGCTCACTGGAAGGACAGATCCTGAAGCTGAGGCTCCAATACTTTGGCCACCTCATGAGAAGAGAAGACTCCCTGGAAAAGACCCTGATGTTGGGAAAGATGGAGAGCCCAAGGAGAAGGGGACGACAGAGGACGAGATGGTTGGAAAGTGTTCTTGAAGCTACAAACATGAGTTTGACCAAGCTGCGGGAGGCAGTGGAAGACAGAAGTGCCTGGTGTGCTCTGGTCCATGGGGTCACGAAGAGTCGGACATGACTAAACAACTAAACAACAACAATGTTGCAAAACAGCCCTGCAGAAGCTAGGAAAGTTGAGGGCTAATAAATGCAAACAAGTGCAGAGCTTCACCGACCAGTGGCGTGAAAAGTATTTCTATAAGGTAGCTCCGTAGGTACCCAAAATGAAATGGAAGAAACTGACTGTCCTTCAAAAACAGAAGGACCCCTCTTGTGGACCACAGACCACAGATGGGTGGGGCCAGCGGCCTTTCAATCACTTGATGTCACTGGTACATCATGTGCCCATGTACAAAATCGTCAATGATCAGCTAGTGCATTTCATCCTTGCTGTGCCTTTACCTGCTCCACAGCTGTCATCATCATACATGGCATCATGTGCAGGGCGGGTGGGCATGTTCTGGCCAAAATGGAGCAACTGGGAAGGCCTACTGGGCCTGATTCAAGGAGGTTTCCAGCTGCTGTTCTGAAAGACGGGATCCCTCACCCTCTAGCGATCTCCCTTTCCTACCTCTGGCAGCTGGCTCCAGGTCATGTGAGCAGGCCGGTAGTTCTTCACCACAATGGTGGAGGAATCTGTGGCAGGGGGTTCCTCAGGGATGGTTTCCACCTCTAGGAGGTCGTCATCTGACTCGTGGCTGATGGAGTTGAGACCTTTCTCGCGAATCTCTTGATACAGGCGGGGATCTGGGATAGAGAAGTGGGGCAGATCAGCAATGCTGAGAAACCTCGGGTAACTCTTTGCTCCCCAAAGACACACGTTTTCCCAACCTATGTGCTAACGCTATGGAAGCACATTACCAATACAGTGGTGCCCCGCAAGACGAATGCCTCGCAAGACGGAAAACTCGCTAGACGAAAGGGTTTTCCGTTTTTTGAGCTGCTTCGCAAGACGAATTTCCCTATGGGCTTGCTTCGCAAGACGAAAACGTCTTGCAAGTTTGTTTCCTTTTCTTAACACCGTTAATACAGTTGCGACTTGACTTCGAGGAGCAACTCATAGAACGCAGTGTACATAGTAGCCTTTTGGAGGTTTTTAAAGACTTTGGTGATTTTTGAAGCTTTTCCAAAACTTCTTTTGCAGCCATTTGGTGAGTTAAGCTTTTAAAACTTTTTTTGGGGGGGTTTGGATTTTGGGTTGGGGTGTTTGGAATTCAAGGACTTGGTGTTGGGGAGGGGTTTGCAAGAATCTGGAAGTTTGTGTGTTTTTTTCTGCATTTTTATGATTTTCTGTGACCATTGGGCCACTCTGCTGTTTTTTTAAAAAAATTCTGGATTTGAATTTCTGTGTGCTGGGTGGCTGGGGGAACAGTTGGGGAGGGGTTTGCAAGAATCTGGAAGCTTGTGTGTGTGTTTTCTGCATTTTTATGATTTTCTGTGACCATTGGGCCACTCTGCTGTTTTTTTAAAAAAATTCTGGATTTGAATTTCTGTGTGCTGGGTGGCTGGGGGGAACAGTTGGGGAGGGGTTTGCAAGAATCTGGAAGCTTGTGTGTTTTTTTCTGCCTTTTTATGATTTTCTGTGACCATTGGGCAACTCTGCTGTTTTTTTAAAAAAATTCTGGGTTTGAATTTTGAAATGCTCTTTACAGTATGTGTGACTTTAAAGAGCATTTAATAAACTCTTGTTGTACCAAATTTGGCTTTGTTTGGACTTTTTTTGACCATAGGAACGCATTAATTGATTTCCAATGCATTCCTATGGGATTTCGTGCTTCGCAAGACGAAAAATTCGCTAGACGAAAAAATTCACGGAACGAATTAATTTCGTCTTGCGAGGCACCACTGTAGGAATCTTATATACCAGGAGGGGATGATGTGGGGCCCTCTAGACGTTCCTGAACAACATCTCCCACCATCTCTCACCATTTGGGGCTAATGGGAGCTGGGAGTCCCAAAACATCTGCGGGTTTCACAGTACACTGGCTGCCCCTGCTATGCAGTAATAGTGAACTCGTTCTTCTGCATTGATATCTTTTATGAAGCAAGCATCAGAAGGATTTGGAGAAAACAAGGTTTGCTCAAGTATATTAAACAATATATTTTAGGGAGAAGAAAACCTTCAAGGGGAATCCGAGTCTCAGCTATGCAGGCAGAAGGCCCCGGGTTCCATCCCCAGCATCTCTGGGTAGGTCTGGGGATGTCCCTTGCCTAAAACCCCAAAGAGGTGCTGCCAGTCAGTTTAACTAATTCTGAGCTGGATGGAACAGGGGTTTGAATCAGGAAAATGCAGCTACCCATGTTAACAAGCTAAAGGTGTGTGTGTGTGTGTGTGTGTGTGTGTGTGAGAGAGAGAGAGAGAGAGAGAGAGAGAGAGAAAGAAAGAGCAAAAATAGCCCAAACGACACGAGAATGGACCCTGGAAGGCTGCCTGACTGAATGGGGGGATGGAATGGAGTATCCTGGAAGAGGGTTCAACTGCCTGGCACCCTTAACACAATCACTCCACACTGCAACATTTTGTTGCAGCTTTCACTTGTAATTCCCACCAAGAACTCACATGTTCCTAGGCATGGTGAGTCCTTAGCAGCAGAAAACAACTACCCGAGCGAGGGGGTTGCAGACAACTAAGTTTTACTCAGGGTAGACCTGTTGAATTTAATGGACCCTAGTTAGCAATTCATTTCAGCAGTCCATTCATTTCAATGGGTTTACTCTGAGTAGGGGGCTAGCACAAGACACAGCCCTGAGGATCCCTAGCTGAACTGATGTAAGAGTAGCCAGGTTGCTACTTCCTGTTGCCAAAAATTTGGGCACCTTGGGGTTGACTGCCTGTGTGAAACTGCTCCCATAGGAACCAAGTCTTATTTTAAGAAGTCCTGTTATGGAATGGATGCAAAGGGAAGATTCCCAGGATCAATCCAAAGTCTGACTAGGGGTGCCCTGGAATATCCTGGTCCATCTACTCACCATCTTTGAAGGAACCTCCATGCCGATTCATACGCTTCCGACCAAAGGTTCTCTGTCAAACAGAGAGAGAAAATGAGAGGGGGGCGATCATAAGCAGCTATACAGACACAACATGTAAAAAAAAAAAAAATCATATTGCAGACAGTAGTGGCTGATGCCCATTTGTACTGGTGGGCTGGAAGGCAGGGAGACTAACAGCAGGTGGCGCTAGAGCCAATAACAGACATGCGGAGCCAACTACCGTATTTTTCGCACCATAGGGCGCACCAGACCATAGGGCGCACCCAGTTTTTAGGGGGGGAAATCAAGGAAAAAAATATTTTTCCCCCCCAGCCCCAAAGAGCAGCGTACAGGCTGCACACAACCTCTCCCTGCCAGAGGGGTTGTGCGCAGCTATGGAAGAAGGCAAGGCAGCAAGCGGTATGGTTCCCGCTCGCTGTCTTGGCTGCCCGTTTAGCCCAGTGCAGCCTCTCCTTGCCGGGAGAGGCTGCGTGGGGCTAAAGAAGCCATAGCCCCGTGCAGCCTCTCCTTGCGGAGGGGTTGCGCGCAGCTATGGAAGAAGGCAAGGCAGCGAGCGGGATGGATCCCGCTCGCTGTTTTGCCTTCCCTTAGCCCGTGCAGCCTCTCCTTGCAGGGAGAGGCTGTGTGGGGCTAAAAAAGCCATAGCCCCGTGCAGCCTCTCCTTGCGGAGGGGTTGCGCGCAGCTATGGAAGAAGGCAAGGCAGCGAGCGGGATGGATCCCGCTCGCTGTTTTGCCTTCCCTTTAGCCCGTGCCGCCTCTCCTTGCAGGGAGCGGCTGCGTGGGTCTAAAGACGCCCGAGCCCCGTGCAGCCTCTCCTTGCGGAGGGGTTGCGCGCAGCTATGGAAGAAGGCAAGGCAGCGAGCGGGATGGATCCCGCTCGCTGTTTTGCCTTCCCCTTTAGCCCCGTGCAGCCTCTCCTTGCCGGGAGACGCTGCGCAGGGCTAAAGAAGCCATAGCCCCGTGCAGCCTCTCCCTGCCGGAGGGGTTGCGCGCGGCTATGGCACAAGCCTGCATTCGCTCTATAGGACGCACACACATTTCCTCTCAATTTTTGGAGAGGAAAAACTGCGTCCAATAGAGCGAAAAATACGGTAATTCTAGTTTTGTTCCCATCCTCTTCCTCCCTCCTGAGAGAGAGAGAGAGAGAGATGAAACAAACCTACTGTATTCTTATTCTTATTCTTATTATTGGTTTACTCAATTTATATACCACGCTTTTTTCAAAATATCCCAGGGTAAAGAGGAAAGTTTTTGCCTGGTGCCTAAAGACATGCAATGATGCTGCCAGATGAGCCTCTCTGGGGAGAGCGCTTCACAGTACAAAGGTAAAGTCTACTCTCACCCCACCCACCATTTCCATACGGCCCCCAGAAGGTTGCCCGGGAGGGACTGCGGCCCTCAATCTGAAAAAAAAGTTTCCTGCCCCAAAGCACTATGAAATACTAGACATTAGCAATGACTGAACCTTGCCAATCATCGTTCAACGTTTCTGAGCAGAGATTGGAAGGCCATCAGCCACGTATGATCTCGTTGAGATTCCTGCATTGCATGGGGTTGGACTAGATGATCCTTGGTCCCAACTCTACAGTTCTGTGATCTTGCTCCGTTTGTTTGAACAACTCTTGCTTGTTCAGGACTCCCAGAAGTCTGAGCAAGCAACTGAGAGCCAAGCTCCTTCGTAGATTCAGCTGCTGCTCCTTCCCCCCACGTGTTTCTCCGCCCCACGGCCGGCTCAGACCTATGTACAAACAACGTCCTAAGAGGATCATCCGGATTTGAGCCGAGGGAAACAATTGCCAGCCAGAGAATTATGTTGCAACGGCAGTTATGTACGCGGTCAAATTTGCAGACCCAGTTTGAAAACAAAAACAACCACTTCAAAAAACGAGGCATTTCTCTGGATAAATACCGGGCGGCGTTTTACAATACAAGAAGAAGGCGCAGAGTCCAGAGAGGAAAGGGGTCTGCGACAAACAAACATCACAAAGGTTTGGGTTCAGCATTAAGGAGTTTCTAGCCTAGGCTTGCAGTCTAAGAGAGGTGGAACATAGGAAGCTGCTGTATGCAGAGTCAGACCACTGGCCCAGTTCTGCCAGCTCTCCAGCATTTCAGAAAGAGAGCCTTTCCCAGCCCTTCCTGGAGATGCTGGGGACTGAATTGGGGATATTCTGCATGCAAGAAACATGCTCTGCCATGTTGAGCGGGGCATAAATAGAACAGCAGCAGCAGCAGCAATGGAATAAGACGTCCCTATTTTCATCAGAGAAATGTTGCACAGTACGCAAGAAAGGATCCCTTGCCTTGCTTCTTAACCCTTAGGAGGAAGCGACACAACCAAGGCCTTTCCCACAGGGCCATAACCTCTTGGTCAATGTGTGTCTTTCACACACACCTTGCCACTTTGGTGTGTGATCTTCTTTGCCTTATTTCAGTTTCACTTTCTCAACGTGTGGGATGGGGGTGGGGGAATCCAAGTTCCAAAGTGACTCAAGCTTTTGTTTAGTTTTCCAGGGACCTTTGCCCCCAACAGCCCTAACATTATCACTGCAGCAGCTCCCCATACTCAACTCCCACCCACCTTGGGTCTTGTTGCAACACATAGCCGATGATCAACTCTCAGGTCAAGAGCTGTCGGGACTCAAACCTTGGTCTACTTGCTGCTGCCTCTTGTGGTGAGAGACAGAACAGCAGCTGCAGCACCTACCTACCAACCTAGGCCAGAGGTGGTGAACATCAGGCCCAGGGCGTGAAAGTGGTCCTTCAAGCCTCTCTCTCTCTGATCTTCAGGAGTACCCTCAGAACTCACCTTCCAAGCCCTACTTTGCACCCTCAGATGGATCGCCACCACCTCTTCCACATCATGGACATTCCTGGCTGGGTGCAAGAGGTAAATCTCAAGGGAGCAGAAAGGGCCAGGCAGTATATGCATCTTTAGGTGTTGCTGACGTGCATGTGAGCATGACACAACTACAAGCGCCAGTGCCAGCTCATCCCCCAGGACATTCCAGGATCATTTCAGAAACCAGGATGACTTCTGTACAGTCATACCTCGTGTTGCGTTTGCTTCATGATACGTTTTTTCAGGTTGCGTCCCGCAGCGACCCGGAAGTAGCAGAAAGGGTTACTTCCGGGTTTCGCCGCTCACGCATGCGTGCAAAATGACGTCACGCACATGCGCAGATGTGGCGAATCGCGACCCGTGCAAGCACAGATGCGGGTTGAGTTCTGCTCATGTTGCGAACGGGACTCCGGAACGGATCCCATTCGCAACCAGAAGTACCACTGTAATTCTGGGAATATCCTGGGCAAACAGGGGTGGTTGGAGGGTGTGCCGTACTGGGGGTCCCAGTTCACCAAACATAGAGCAAGGGTTGCTAACATGATGCCCTCCAGAGGTCGTTGAGACTCCTGGCTCTTAACAGCTCCTCCTACATCTGTTTGTTGTTTGTTTGTTTGTTTGTTTCAAGTATTTATATACCCTTTCCCCAGGTGCAGGACCCAAAGTGATTCGCAGAATACATCAAAAGAGATTCAGATACAAATGCACAATACATTTAAATAGTAATTAACAGTTAAATGCATGACCCTATTTAAACAACAGCCAACACTGAAAACCATTTAAAAGCACAACACACATATCCAAAACAAAAACAAAAATGTACAACCCTCCCTTCAGAAGACCCTGCCACAACAGTCAGTTACTGGCCAAAGACCTCTCTGAACAAAGAAAGTATTTGCTTTCTACTGAAAGGAAAGCAGAGAGGAGCTAGTCTCCTATACAAGGGAGTTTCACTATCTGGGAACAGCCACCAAGAAGTCCTTGTCTCATGCCTCTCCAGAAGATTTCAAAGCCTGGGCAGGCTCATATAAGGAGGTAGGCGCACATAGGGTCATAACCAATGCTGTGAATTGCACTTAAGCCAGCACTTTCCATTGGGGAAAAAATCACAAATTGGCACCCTTGCTTCCATTTTCTGATACAAGCCACATCTGCAGCTTGTGGTCCTTCAAAAATCTAAGCGGAGCGCATGAACTCTGCCACATATCCACGGCAAGATTGCCCTCTCCTTCCAAGTTTCCAGGAGAGAAAAGCCCAGTTGCATGGACTCTTGCGCTGACACGGTCCGCCCCTGTGCTTCACCCTCCCCTTTCCAATTCACTCCAAATCTCCCTGGAAAAGTTGATAGAAACCCCAAAGTCATCTTCAAATAGAGAGCGTGATTAACTCCCCAGTTCCCTAGGATCTATCAAAGGCAGACCATATCCTGCATTCAGACAGCAGGCTGCTTTGCTCACTTCTGGAACGGACAGAGTTAACTTGTTTTGTTTTAAAATTCAAGTTTGAGCTCTGACCTTCCGCTGGTCAGGCCTCAGCTAATCAGGGCAGTAATTCAGGCCAGCTGCGGCCAAACTGGAGCTCTGAATGCATTTGTCCAATCTGGAATAAAAGCATTTGGGGTGAGGATGCAAGCTTTAACAGTTTAGAAACAAACACACCATTGCTTCAGCAGCTCACAATACAATTTCATTGTGTGGGATCCTAGAGTTGGAAGGGACCTCCCTTCCCTAAGGGTCTTATCTTCCAACAGCCTGCAATGCAGGGATCTCAGCAAATCATGGGTACTTCTCGGGCTTCAGAATCCAAACTGTGGTCTGAGTGACCAATTGCACTGGCAAGCCATGGTTTGGAGTCCCTCAACATCTGGAGGGCACCAGGTTGGGGAAGGTGGCACTGTCAGGTCTAAAGCAGCTCAGCTTGCCCCTTTCCTGAGATAGGGTGGAAGGCACTATGGGGCTTTCAGCATGTCTACCTGAAACACTCCTGAAGTCTCAAGCATCTTCTGGGTGAATGGAAGGAATCCACCCAACTCTACTCCAGTTTCAGACTGGGACAAATCAGCCGCTGAAGTGCTCATAACCCCATTAAAACAGGGGTAGCCATGCCCAAGAAGGAAGCAACAGCAGGCTACAACTTCTGCCACCCTGACCGTAAGCCATGCTGGCTAGGGACTGATGGAAATTATGAGTCCAACAACAACTGAAGATACATCGCCAGCTTCCCTGCTAAATGAGAGCCAGCAGGGTGGAGTGATTAGAGTATCAGACAAGGAGAGACCAGGGTTCAATTCCTGCCCCCTCAGCCATAAAGCTCACTGGGTGACCTTGGGCGAGTCACTGCCTCTTGGCCTAACCCACCTCACAGGGTTGTGGTGGAGATTAAAAGAGCAGACCACGATGGAACGGTGCAATGGAGAACTTATGAAACAGCAATGGAATACTAGCTCCGCCTAAGGTATGGTGGAGAACAGCAACAACCGACAAAAGGTGGACATAATACAGTACTAGGACGGGAAGAAACATCATGGGCAGAATAATAGCCACAAACAAAACACAACAAAGAGAGAGTTTGAATGCTTTACCTGTAAGACTGTAAATTAGTTGATGTGTTAATGCGAATGGAAGTCGTTAAAATTGCAGCTGCGGTATAAGGGTTTGTTATTTTGACTGGTTTGTAATTGGGATTTATAAATTTTTGGAATGCAAAATTTTTGTTAAAGTAAATTATCAAGCCATCAATTCTAACATAATTTGGCATATGAACAATTGGCATTATTGGTTGTATTATAATTTGGTATTGTGACAATGAGGCTTTTATTGGATCATGGTAACTGAAAACTAATAAAAAATTATTACGCATAAAAGAGCGGGCCACCTTGAGATCCATCCATGGAGAAAAAAGGTGGAATAGACATGCAATAAATAACAACAACAGTTGATTATATACCACTGTGCCCTCTAGAATAGCCTATAAAAAGGTAAAGGTACCCCTGCCTGTACGGGCCAGTCGTGTCCGACTCTAGGGTTGCGCGCTCATCTCGCTCAAGAGGCCGGGAGCCGGCGCCGTCCGAAGACACTTCCGGGTCACGTGGCCAGCATGACGAAGCTGCAGCTGGCGAGCCAGCACCAGCACTGCACACAGAAACGCCATTTACCTTCCCGCTATAAAGCGGTACCTATTTATCTACTTGCACTTAGGGGTGCTTTCGAACTGCTAGGTGGGCAGGAGCTGGGACTGAATGACGGGAGCTCACCCCGCCGCGGGGATTCGAACCGCCAACCTTGTGATCAGCAAGTCCTAGGCACTGAGGTTTTACCCACAGCGCCACCCGTGTCCCTAGAATAGCCTATAATTCTAGGCTATTCTAGAGGGCCAGTGGCAGTACAAAGGACCTACCTTCTGCCTTCCAGGGCTACGGGCTCCTTGGCCATTGGTTTCTTCACACAGTGGCTTCAGGCCACCCCCAATGAACTTGGAGGGCTCTGCGGGCTCGCCGTTCCCCAGGCCCTTCATGGCGGCCCGGTACGACATGCTGCGGAGGTTGCGCTTGAGCGTCCCTCCATCCAGCTCCACTTCCTCCAGGTCTTCAAATGAAATGCTGGGTGCTGACATGCGCTTGGGATCCAATCGGGCGGCTTCCTTGCTTAAGATGGCCGCTGAGAAGCTCTGGTGCCGAGAGGGGACCTTGGGCTTGGGACCCTCCGCCAGGCCTTTGGGGATGAGCTGTTGGGTGCCCACCTTGAGGGCAACTGGGCTTTGGGTGCTGAGGACGATCCGGCGGGGCCCAGTGGGCGATGGGGAGCGCTCGGCCAAGAAGACAGAGCTGTCCAGTGGGCCCAGGGAGCTGCGCTTGCTGTGTGGGGACACATTGTTGGCGCTGAGGCGCAAATCCGAGCTGACCTGGTGCTCCAGCAGAACAGCCTTGTCTCCCAAGGAGCCGGTCGAATGGCGCTGAGACATGGCGCCGCCGTCTGCAGATTTGTGGGGCCTGGAGAAAGGGAGAGAGAGCATCAGGGATGCAGTTTTCCAGCACAGGAAGCAAACAAAATATGGGAGTCTCTAGGGATCTGAATCTGCCAAAGCCATGACATAATAAACATGTGGAGACCATTTGGGTGGTTTCATTCAGAATCTCTGAGGAAAATATATTTCTTACTCATTTTGGAGTAGGTAGTAACACTTAAATGAAAAAAATTGTTTTAAAATACATTGGTACCTTGGACGTCGGACGTTATGAGTTCCGGAAGGACGTTCAACTTCTGAAACATTCGATTTCCGAGGCATGGCTTCTGATTGGCTCTTGCAACCGGAAGAGCCAATCGGAAGCCGCTTGTCTGCCGTGTCGGATGTTCGGCTTCCAAAAACGTTCGGAAACCGGATCACTTACTTCTGGGTTTCTGTCGTTCGGGAGCCGAAATGTTCAGCAACGAAGACAATCGAAAAATGAGGTTTGACTGTACCAGGATATTGTCTTATGATATTCTCAGTTGGAGCTAAAGTTACTAAGCATTCCAAATAGTAACATTATTCCAACAGGCGGAAACATTATTCCACAGGGTGCCGCCCCAAGCCTCCTGCCGTGTGCGCAAGGCTTGCGGACACCCGCCCAAAGCACGGGGAGCCCTCTGGAGGGCGCCCCGTGCTTCGGGCTGCAGGCTGCTGCCCGCAAGCCTTGTGAGCCCGCGGGAACTCCTGCTGGGCTTGCAAGGCTTGCGGATAGCTTCCTGAAGCCTGGAGAGCTAGAGGCATCGGTGCGCACCGACCCCTCTCACTCTCCAGGCTTCAGCGAAAGCCTGCATTCGCCCCATAGGACGCACACACATTTCCCCTTCATTTTTGGAGGGGAAAAAGTGCATCCTATGGGGCGAAAAATACGGTAATCTGTCTAAATACCGTATTTTTCGCTCTATAAGATGCACCAGACCACAAGACGCACCTAGTTTTTGGAAGAGAAAAACAAGAAAAAAAATATTCTGAATCTCAGAAGCCAGAACAGCAAGAGGGATCGCTGCGCAGTGAAAGCAGCAATCCCACTTGCTGTTCTGGCTTCTGGGATAGCTGCGCAGCCTGCATTCACGCCATAAGACGCACACACATTTCCCCTTACTTTTTAGGAGGGGAAAAGTGAGTCTTATAGAGCAAAAAATACGGTATTTCCTTTTCTTGTGACAACCATAAGAAGGCCATCTGTCACGTACAATCTAGTTGAGATTTCTGCATTGCAGGAGACTGAACTAGATGACCCTTGGGGTCACTTCCAAGTCTACAGTTGTATGTTTCTATAAATAAATATACTCAATTCTTTCCAAGCCATCTTCCATTTGGCCCACCCCACATCACCAAGAGAGGAACCCGCATAAATTCTTGCTTTCTTCTTAAATTAATTTCTAGGAACAACATCTCCCCAAAAGCTGCTGCTGAGTGACATTCCTACAGTAAGTGGAAAAATGTACCTTTATGGGGTGTTTTTTTCTTTAACAGCACCATCATTTGGGTGGTTAATAGGTCATAAAATCACCTGTGCATAGTGCCACATAAATATTAGCAAAGCATAGTATTAAACCTTTGCTGAGGATGATTTCATAGGCACCTTGTTGCTTATTCATTCCCATTGAAGCGGTCAATTTCATAACAAGACTGTTTTTTAAAAAGTTAAACACAGAGGCCGTGGAACTCTTTCAGCTTGCAAAGACTAGGGGGAAAAAAGGCTGCCCAACCTGTTGGATTAGTTTTCAAACTGATTTCCAACTAGTATTCTATTCCAGTTTTCTATAGCGGGTTGGGGCACAAAAAGGTATTCTTAATTCAACTGTCTCTGTAAAAGGGCGGGGAGCTCCTGTTCCAGATGCCTTGAATGCAACTCCTAGTTTAAAGATATTTAGGGATCCCAGGACAGCATTGTTTTCATGCTGGCTAGGATGCAGTAAGTTTCCCCCTTCGTTCCTTCTTCCTTTGGAAGGACTCTAGAAATGTACAGGCATGCTACAACAACACTATTTATATCCCTCCAAGGGGACGCAGGTGGCGCTGTGGGTTAAACCACAGAGCCTAGGATTTGCCAATCAGAAGGTCGGCGGTTCGAATCCCCGTGACGGGGTGAGCTCCCCTTGCTCGGTCCCTGCTCCTGCCAACCTAGCAGTTTGAAAGCACATCAAAGTGCAAGTAGATAAATAGGTACCACTCTGGCGGGAAAGCAAGATGAGCACCGCAACCCCAGAGTCAGCCACGACAGGACCTAATGGTCAGGGGTCCCTTTACCTTTAAGGAGATCAAGATGCAGTGCATGGTTCTCCCTGCCCCCACTTTATCCTCACAACAACCCTGTGAGGTAGGTTAGGCTGAGAGATGTTGACTGGCACAAGATAACCAGGGAAATTCATGACTACTAGGCACAAAGGCTGTGTCCTGCCTCCACTGCTGGAGGCGGAATGTCTCTGAATGGCAGCTTCTGGGCATCAAATGAAAAGAGAGCAGCCGTGCTTCAGTTGTAGCCTTCCCTGGGTGGCATCTGGGCAGCCTATGTGGGGACAAGATGCTGGGCTTGATTGGTCACTGGCTTGATCAAGCAGCCAGGCTCTCTTAACAGCTGAGTGGGCAATTTGAACCCTGGTCTCCCAGGTTTGAGGCTCTAATTGCTACACCCAAAAACCATAGACCCCTGATTATTTAATATGAATGAGGGCATGCAGAGGAAGAAATAATACATGAAAGAATTATAGGAGCTGCTTTTGCGTCTAATTCACAAATCTCACTCATCGTTGTTCCTGAAATGCGCCATTGAAAATTGTTCTCCGAGAATAGCCACAATTGGATTTTCACACATATCATAGCACAGATTTTAATCAGGCTGATCCACCTTTCCATGCCCACAGGCAGGTGAGTTTGGGAAAGCAGGCACCAGGTTAAGCAGAGGTTGAATTCTTAAGGGCTCTACAGATAAAACAAAGTATGCTACCTTTAACTCCTAGGAGGAATGATGATGATGATGATGATGAAGCTATGAACTGCAGCTATTTGGTGCAATGCCTGGAAATTTCTTTATTTACAACCCACACCTGTTGAGACATGTTATCTAGGGTGCAAGGTAGATTGCATTATTTACTCCACCAGCATTCCTTCCAACCCTGAAGGAGCAGGAACACCCTTTGATTTCTCGGTTGGCAGGTTGGGGCACGGCCGGAGCAGGCAGCGACAGAGAACACACAAGTTAAGAAAACAAAAAGCAGCAAGACTCAAATTCAGGAAATCTTGGACTAGACGATCCTCAGGGTCTCTTCCAACTTCATGATTGTATGATGTCAAGGCCAAGATCAGGATATGGATAAGGTGGGCAAATGCAAAAAAGAGGAACAGAGTTGGGTGGGCCCCCGCATCTAATAGTTATGTAGAAGAACAAATCAGCTCTAGGTAACAAGGTACACCTGCAGAAACTCCATCTTCTGCCCAACTATTAAAGATGTAGGAGGTGTCCGTCCTCTACATGACCCTAAAGGTAAAGGGACCCCTGACCATTAGGTCTAGTCGTGGCCGACTCTGGGGTGCGGTGCTCATCTCGCTTTACTGGCCGAGGGAGCCGGCGTACAGCTTCCGGGTCATGTGGCCAGCGTGACTAAGCCGCTTCTGGCGAACCAGAGCAGCGCACGGAAACGCTGTTTACCTTCCCACCGGAGCGGTACCTATTTATCTACTTGCACTTTGATGTGCTTTTGAACTGCTAGGTTGGCAGGAGCAGGGACTGAGCAACGGGAGCTCACCCTGTCGCGGGGATTCGAACCGCCAACCTTCTGATCGGCAAGCCCTAGGCTCAGTGGTTTAACCCACAGCGCTACCCGCATCCCATCTGACCCTAGTTGCACATAATTTCAACCGTGGTGGTGGGGACACACAGAGCGATGCTGGCACAATTAGCTTCCTCAATGAGAGTTAGTGCCACGTGCTGGCTGAACACACAAGCGGGAATGTTCCCGGTTCAAATTTCTCATTTGCTATGAACCTGCTGGCAGTTCTGTTGGTATTATTATTTCTGAGGATCATACTGTTGACTCCTCCTGCAGGGTTGTCATTAAAAAAATTACTTAAGTCATGTATACAAAGGGCTTTCAACATTCTAAGTGCTACACTGTGCTGATTCTAACAATTTGTCTTGTTGGATTTCCAAGTAATGGGCCGCAGTCAAAAGCACAGGAGCCAGGCTGGGAAAATAACATGCAGGCAAAACTGGCTAGCATCAACTCCTGAGGCAGGATGTAATAAATAAAAACGGAATCAGAGAATCATAAAATTGTAGAGACGGAAGGGACTCAAAGGGCCATGCAATGCAGGAATCAGCTAGCTAGCCATACAGGACTAGCAGCCAGGTGTGTTTCAATAACCACTTTCAGATGAAAATTAAAGCCTGGTTCTATGGGTAGTGCATCTGCATTGGATGCAGAAAGTCACAGGTTCAATTCCCACCATCTCCAGGCAGGACCGAAAATGTTCCCTTTCTGAAACCCTGGAGAGCTGCTGCCAGTTAATGTAGACAATACTGAGCTAGCTGGATCAATGGTCTGAGTGACTCAGGATAAGGCCTATCGTACTCTCCCAGGACACTTTCAGATTCACCATTTCTGGGTGTGATTCCATCATGTGCCAGCAAATTAGAGTTGCACCATTCAAGTTAATTTGGCTCTCTCAACAAACCTGCTTCCCTGCAAAATTTGGACTTTTCATGGTAAGAGAAGCGAGGTGGAAATGCACCAGAAAGTGTGAAATAGCACTGGGCTTGACTCAATGTCATATAACCTCCTTGCAAAAGAAACAGAATGAGTACTCAACAAATAGCCATTGCTATCTAACCTCCCCACAAATTTTGTGCAAAGGAATCAGGATAGATGCTCATTAAATAGGTCACCTGGAAATAATCAGTTTTCAGGAAGGAGGTAAACTTTACGGTTATAGCTCCTATCCAATGTTAGCCCTACTCACTGTAGATCCATTGAAATTAATGGACATAGCTAACTTAGGTCCATTGATTTCAGTGAGTCTGCTCCAAGTAGGACCAACCTTGAACACAACCAGATATGACTACAGTGGTGCCCCGCAAGACGAATGCCTCGCAAGACGAAAAACTCGCTAGACGAAAGGGTTTTTCGTTTTTTGAGCTGCTTCGCAAGACGATTTTCCCTATGCGCTTGCTTCGCAAGACGGAAATGTCTTGCAAGTTTGTTTCCTTTTTCTTAACACCGTTAATACAGTTGCGACTTGACTTCGAGGAGCAACTCATAGAACGTGGTGGGTTTTTAAAGACTTTGGTGATTTTTGAAGCTTTTCCAAAACTTTCCCGACACCGTGCTTCGCAAGACGAAAAAAATCGCAAGACGACAAAACTCGCGGAATGAATTAATTTCGTCTTGCGAGGCACCACTGTAGTTTCACTTTCAAGCCCTTCCGTGAACCCGGGAGAATGCCAGCAAGCCTAAACAGCTTGTAAGCTTTTCATTAGTCAACCCGTTTCCAGCCAAAGCACTTTAAATATTGAAAAGCTTGATCCTAACAGTGCCCACCCCCAGCAGTGTCCATGGATTTCAATCAGATTCCTTTGTTTGAGACCTTGGTTTCCCCAAACTATTCTCTGAAGGCTGACCCTATCCAGGTTCACTCTTAAATCAGTCTGACTTAATTTACTCCCAAATATGCCTAGGTGACAGAGAGGCAGCATGGTGCTAGACATTTTTACTTGGGAGTAAGTATTCACTGGGCCTGCACAGGATTGCACCATGGGCACCTGCAATCCTTTGGGGGGGGGGCGGGGAGAGAAACAGAACACCTAAAGCGAGAGGGGATAATTACACACACACAGAGAGAGAGAGTAGCGTCTACATATTTTGCTTTATTTCACGGATTCTACAAATTTACTATTTGTTTCTATTTGGGATATCTGGGATGGGGGGGGGAGGGAAGGGGAACAGTTGCGCCCCCCACCCACCGTGCAGTGGATACACATGGATTACACGCAGGAAAGCTACACTCGTCAATTACTAAATAAAATATTACAATCCTCTATTATGCTTACTCGAGTAAATCCGATTGCACTCAGCTGGGTCATCACGCACAAGAAGCCCGCCCCCTCCACGCCACACGCGAGCCACCATCCAGTGTGGACTCAGACTCAGGAGTAAGTTCCACTTCGACGATGCACCGCTTACGTCAGAGCAAAAGGTGCCTGTTGCAATTTTCCAGCCAATCTCCTTTTAACCCTTTGTACGCCGCGCGCCACGCATGCGATCCTCGGGCCGCCTTCCGCAAAAGGAAGTCCTCTTATCAACAACAAGGGCCTGTATCCTGCGGGATCCCTGCTCAGGGTAGACCCGCTGAAATTAGAAGATCCAGGCCTGGAAAAGGATCGGACCCCTGCTAGCCTAGATTTCGCCCTCCAGGATTTGCAAAGGGTCGGAGTCGATGACCCTCTGGTGCACCCCAACTCTACAATTCACTGATTTGTTCCCTTAGTGCAGAATGCATCATGCGAAGCAGCTTTGCTTTATTAACTGCTGGGACGCCCTTTTCTAAGCGGGATACATACGACCCGCGGAGGTGACTGCCTGAACGCCCACGATTTGAAACGGAGCCACGCAACTCCAAATCACAGCTCCCCATAATCAAGGCGCGCGGGATGGGGTGGGGGAGAGATGCGAGGAGCCTCCCTCCCAGTAAGGAAGTAAGTGGGCAAACTATGCCTTGTCCTCCTTTGACCAGCGAGCTAACTTTCCCACGCGCTCACAAACACACACCCAAAACAAACCCGCGCGCGCCAGTGCGCGCCTTTCTCCAAACGCGCTCACCTTCTTTACGTCTCCATTGGGGCTCCGTCTCCAGCGTCAACGGGGCGCCATCGTCCTCGGCCTGGGACAAGAAAAGAAAAGCACAGGTGTCGCCTGAGAAGGGGGGCTCCACCCTCCGAGGAGGAGCCTGAGATCGAAGTGCACCTGGGCAAGCCCTCCCACTTGGCTCTCTTTCTCCAGCTGGGGCGCAAGAGCCGACCGGTCTCTCCTGCAGCCAGCCTGCCTTGCCCTTCGGGGCTTGGGCGTCCCAAAGACTTCCTCTGAACTTCCTTTAACTCTTCCAGGCCGGGCAGATTCCCACGCAGCGTCAAGTTACAAAAGGTTCAACCCCCTGCCCGGTTAACCAGCAAAACGCAACGCTGGGAGTTGCAATTAAAATAATAATTATAATAATAAATTGTTATGGCATGGGCTTTCGTGGGTCTAGACTCTCCTGATACTGTTGCAAAGGGTTTTAATGGGCTTAAAATGTTTTCAAATCAATGTTAATTCTTGTGTTTTTTACAGTGTCCTAATCTGCATAGGGACGCGGGTGGCACTGTGGGTTAAACTACAGAGCCTAGGACTTGCCAATCAGAAGGTCGGCAGTTCGAATCCCTGCAACGGGGTGAGCTCCCGTTGCTCGGTCCCTGCTCCTGCCAACCTAGCAGTTCGAAAGCACATCAAAGTGCAAGTAGATAAATAGGTACCGCTCTGGTGGGAAGGTAAACGGTGTTTCCGTGCGCTGCTCTGATTTGCCAGAAGCGGCTTAGTCATCCTGGCCACATGACCCAGAGGCTGTACGCCAGCTCCCTTGGCCAATAAAGCGAGAAGAGCGCCGCAACCCCAGAGTCTGCCACGACTGGACCTAATGGTCAGGGGTCCCTTAACCTGCATAGCTTCGCCTCCGAACGTTTGCCTTATACCGAGTCTATCTAGCTCAGTATTGTTAATGTCCTCACTGACTAGCAGCAGCTCTCCCAGATTTCAGAGCCCCATGCCATCTTTTGCATATTATTTATTTATTTTTCATCCTTCACCATTAGGCCCCATGGTGGGTTGCAACCATTTAAAATTCAGAATTAAAAAGAGTTAAAACAGGTTACCCATCCTAGGAATAGGGTGGGTCCTGAAAAACACATATCACAAGGGTCAAAAAGCAAAGGTAAAGAGGTGTGTCTTCAGCGTTCACGAAAAGCTGCATAGTAAATAAGCCAGATGGTTATTTGAGTTTATGGCAGAGGTGAGATTCAAACCCAGAACTTCAGGATCCACAGCTATGCCTTTTAGCGAGCAGGCTACTCCAGAGGCTAGCAGAGGTGGGCAGGCCATCGGCCATTCATAAAACACAGTGTTCATTCATAAAGCAGTAACATAAATCTCCATTGCTACATTTTGGGTGTATATTGAATGTACAAGTTTATGGCCACGCTATAGTGTAGTGCTTATGCGACTGTGAATAAAAGGTGGCTGGGCTCATTGTCTTGGGGTTTGGGGGGGAAGAGGTGACAAAACTGATTTCCAATAAGTGCCGCCCCCTTTATTTCCATAACAAGTCCTTGAGTCTGTACTCTGAATGGTGACACCAGGGACCTAGAAGGTGCAGGGCTTGTCAGTCCAACCCCTGCACAGTCTCATCAGGGCTGGCATTAAGGCAATTGGGCCAAATTGGGCCCCGCGGGCCGCTCCTAAGGGGGCCCCTGCACCAGGGCAATCTAGATGGATTTTATTTATATCTATAAGATTTTGCAGAATTTGGCTGTGAACTGGGGCCCTATAAAAAAAAAATTCAAGTTGTGCCCCACTGCTTCAATTGGGCCCCACTGGCTAGCCCTGAGTCTAATAGTTGCTGGGCCTGAGTTGCCCTACTCTTGCATGAAGTCTTGGGTTTACAATTTTGGGAGAGGGGAGACTGCGGCACTGGGGAGTGGGCAGGCTGGTGGGGCCCCCTAGACTTAGAGCCCCGAGTTGCCCTGCCCTTGCATGAAGTCTTGGGTTTGCAATTTTGGGAGAGGGGAGACTGCCCGCTGGGGAGCAGGAGGCTGGTGGGCCCCCCTAGATTTAGAGGCCCTAGGCTTCAGCCTACTTAGCCTATACATAAATCCGGCACTGCTGCTCAGAGTAAACCCACTGCAATTAATGGACCTAAATTAGTAGTGCCCTTTATTTATTTGAACAGTGCATTACCCCTCTCATTGAAGAACTTCCTTCCCAGAGCAGTGTAGTTAAAAGCAACTGAACTCTGCCTGACAAGAAGAGTGCAACTAAGCAATAAGGGGACCCCTGACCATTAGGTCCAGTCGTGGATGACTCTGGGGTTGCTGCGCTCATCTCGCTTTACTGGCCGAGGGAGCCAGCGTTTGTCCACAGACAGTTTTTCTGGGTTGTGTGGCCAGCATGACTAAGCCACTTCTGGTGAAACCAGAGCAGCGGACAGAAACGCCATTTACCTTCCCGCCGGAGCGGTTCCTATTTATCTACTTGCACTTTGACGTACTTTCGAACTGCTAGGTTGGCAGGAGCAGGGACCGAGCAACGGGAGCTCACTATGTTGCGGGGATTCGAACCGCCAACCTTCTGATCAGCAAGCCCTAGGCTCTGTGGTTTAACCCACAGCGCCACCCACATCCCAACTAAGCAATATACCAGCATAAAAAGTGCACAGCAATAATTAAATTAGATTTATTATTCTGATCATTAATTGGTTAGAAAACATTAAAAACCCAACAGGAGCAAAGATTTAAAAAACCAACCAAAATTTAAAAGTAGAAATAAAACAGAGTAACTTAGGGTATCTAAGGCTTTTGATACTAGTTTGGGGGAATTGCAGGTGGAGAGATATGCTGTTGGGCCCAGGTCCTGCTTGCCAGGTGCATCTAGTTGGTAACTGGGAGAACAGGCTGTTGCACCCAGTGGTCCCTTGGCCTGATTCAGCAGAGCTCTTCTTACACTCTTATGAAAAGGAAAATGCCATTGGGAGTTCAAATCGCAGAACTCTTAACATTGCATGAAATTTGGGGCCCCGTGCATCAGACAGCTTGGAAACGCGGCTGCAAAGCCCAGATTCTGCAGCTGCAGCTCGCCCTCTGCTGGGTGATGCTGCTCATTGCCTTGAGTACACTTGCAACTTACATGCATTTAACTCGTGGGCATTCATCTTTACAAACTTGACAATTAAAATAAATAAATTGAGAGGGTCCAGAAAGGGGCGGGGAGGTGTCGGAGGGGAGGGGGGGAGAGAGAGAACTATGCCAATCCCACTCGCCATTGCGCCCAATGTGTTTTGACTATATAGTGGTACCTCAGGTTACATACGCTTCAGGTTACAGACGCTTCAGGTTACAGACGCTTCAGGTTACAGACTCCGCTAACCCAGAAATAGTACCTCGGGTTAAGAACTTTGCTTCAGGATGAGAACAGAAATTGTGCTCTGGTGGCACGGCAGCAGCGGGAGGCCCCATTAGCTAAAGTGGTGCTTCAGGTTAAGAACCATTTCAGGTTAAAAACGGACCTCTGGAACAAATTAAGTTCTTAACCTGAGGTACCACTGTACTCAGTTTTGGTTTTAGACATGATCCCTGGAACGGAACTCCTGCGTAAATTGCAGGCATACTGTACTGTATTGAGAGGCAGCAATTCGGGTGATGGGAGAGCCTGCAAACATTTGCAGTCACAATTAGCAGCACGCTGCAAATGCAATCGCTGCCTAAGTGGTGCTTTGGCACACAGCTAGTGCTTATGCATATAAAGGTATCCATCCTCATCCTCTCCTGTTTCGGTTTTTCAAGAGCTACAAAGTTCTGCAAAAAGTGTTTGTTTGTTTTTCCAAATGGGAGTTAAATGTGGAACTCACTGCAGCAATCTAAGTACGAGTGCCCCCGGGAAATGCAGTTTCCCCAGGGTGCATGCCACCTGTTTCCCAGGACCCCGGCTAACAGTGCAGTGTAGTGCTTAGAGTCAGACTTCAGCCACAAAACCTATTGAGTAACCTTGTGCCAGTCACCGTCTCTCAAGCTAACATGCAATGGCGACCTATGTGCTCCCAAGCATGGTTTTCCCTGTGTCAGAGAACCATGCCAGTGTGGTGTAGTGGTTAAGAGTGGTAGTCTCGTAATCTGGTGAACTGGGTTTGATTCCCCGCTCCTCCATATTGCTGGGTGACCTTGGGCTAGTCACACTTCTCTGAAGTCTCTCAGCCCCACTCACCTCACAGAGTATTTGTTGTGGGGGAGGAAGGGAAAGGAGAATTTTAGCCACTTGAGACTTCTTCGGGTAGTGATAAAGCGGGATATCAAATCCAAACTCCTCCTCCTCCTCCTCTTCTTCTTCTTCTTCATGCCTACTTCTAAAACAAAGTATAGAGAACAACATCCCTGCAGGGGTGGGTAAGCTGGGGCCCACAAACTGCCACTGGACTCCCAACTAGTATGGCCATGGATTATGTAAGTCCAGCAACTTCTGGGGTGTGGGGACAGGCTTATCATACCTGGCTCATACCACTGAGTTGCAGAACATGCAGACAAATTTTTGCCCACTGCCTCCAAATTCATTTCCCCTTATGCGTCATCAACAAGGGGAGGGCTTTTTTGTAGAGGGGGATAAGCCTTGGCTACAAGGCTCTGTCTGGTCACATGACTGATTTAGGGTATTTTTTTCCAGCCGGGATGCAAATGAACTACATGTGGGCATTCTCATCCTCCCAACAACAGACCTTTTCTTTACGGGCCTTCTGAGTTGGGCAGATAACAACAACAACAACAACAACAACAACAACAACAACAACAACAATTATTTATTATTTGTACCCCGCCCATCTGGCTGGGCTTCCCCAGCCACTCTGGGTGGCTTCCAAAAGAATATTAAAATACTGTAATACATGAAACATTAAAAGCTTCCCTAAACAGGGCTGCCTTCATATGTCTTTTAAAAGTCTGGTAGTTGTTGTTCTCTTTGACATCTGGTGGGAGGGCGTTCCACAGGGAGGGCGCCACTACCAATGCCTCAAGCACTGTCCATAACAGCTGCGTTCATTTTTGTTACCAGAACAAAAGCTCAAAACGCTGCCCCTCCTTGGCCAATGGCAAGGGATAATGGGTGGAAAAGTAAAAAAAGGTATATTCAAAGCTGCAACAAGTGAGTCTTAGTATGGATCTCTCCAAAAGGACCAAATATCAAACAAAGGAGGCACAAAGCTTTTATATAATTGTAGCAAACGCAAACATAGGATGTCGTGTGTCACAGTAGAAAACAGCGTGGGTGGGCAGAAGTGAACCGTTATCCTATCAAAAATAGCAAGGGGTAGGGAAAGCTGTACACAAAAGAAATCTAGACAGAGGAGTCCAGCAATGAGGAGAGATTCCAAATCCTAGAACTGCTTCCCTTCAGGTACCCACTCACAGAGCATTTTGGTATGATATAACCAGGGCTTCTTTCACAGTCATAGAGTATTAAACAAGATATAGGTAAAGGTAAAGGGACCCCTGACCATTAGATCCAGTCGTGGCCGACTCTGGGGTTGCGGCGCTCATCTTGCTTTATTGGCCAAGGGAGCCGGCGTACAGCTTCCAGGTCATGTGGCCAGCATGACTAAGCCGCTTCTGGCGAACCAGAGCAGCGCACAGAAATGCCGTTTACCTTCCCGCTGGAGCGGTACCTATTTATCTACTTGCACTTTGATGTGCTTTCGAACTGCTAGGTTGGCAGGAGCAGGGATCGAGCAATGGGAGCTCACCCTGTCGCGGGGATTCGAACCACCGACCTTCTGATCGGCAAGTTCTAGGCTCTGTGGTTTAACCCACAGCACCACCCACGTCCCAAACAATATATAATGGTGGCAAAAAGAAAGGTTGCTTGACTGTTGTCCCAACTGCACAGAAAACAGATTCCCCCCCCCCCACAAATGCAAAAACCAAGGCCCCAGTCTCAGTGCCCAGTACAGTGGTACCTCTGGTTGCGAACAGGATCTGTTCCAGAGGCCCGTTCGCAACATGAAAAGAGTGCAACCTGCAGCGGCGAGTCGGGGCACACGCAGGTTGCAATTCACCGCTTCTGCGCATCCGTGTGACGTCATTTTGCGCTTCTGCGTATGCGCAAACCGTGAAACCCAGAAGTAACCCTTTATGGTACTTCAGGGTCGCCAAGGGACATAACTTTAAAGAACGTAACATGAAGCGGACGTAACATGAGGTATGACTGTAAATAGTATTCATTATGCATTCAACTTATTTTGTACGCATCCCAAGAAAATGCAGAAAAGCATCCTTTAAAAAAGCACACAGGTTTATTGCATATCAATCTCATGTATAAATCCGTTGTAGCATTGGAAAGATTACATTTGGTATACATTCCTATTCTACAGCATTAACCTCAAAATCAGCGCTTTCTAGTCATTATTTTTTTAAAGGAATTTCTCTACACAAGTACATTGTTTGTTTTTCATCTTTTTATCACAAGCATCAAAGTGAAATTTTTGCAAAAAAAATCGCCTTTTATTTTAATTATATTCTACACATCACCTCTTTTTTATTTTTTTACTTTATTTATTCTCCCAACAAAGCGATTTCGTATTAATTAATAACTGCCACTTATTTAAAATTTTCCTTGGCAGTTCAAGGCTTCTAGCCCCAACTCAAAAAAAGAACAAATAATAATAATAATAATAATAATCCCCAAACGAAACAACAACGGAGGGGGGGAAAATGAAACAAAACCCCTAATCACATATACATAAGTGCATCTACTGAATTTTTTTTTCCTTTTTAATAAAAATTTCACAAACGGACACAATAATGACTGATAAACACAAGTCATGCACAGTTTTGTTTTGTTTTTTACTTATAAACAGAATAGAAGCAATATACACTCCAGAATGCTAAGGAACTAGCACCTTCCTCTTTCGCAGTGTTTTAAAAACATTATTTGAAAAAACCAGACATTTACAATTGATTAAAAAAAAAAGCAAGAGAGAGAGAGGGGGAGAGAGACTATACAGTTCTAAAAGAAATAAAATATCCTAGATCAAACGTGTATACTGTAACAACGGCAGGAGCATGGGATAAGAACAGGAAGATGAGGACAGATACACAAATCATAATCCTTGCTACCATTTATATATATAAGGTTCTTTTTTAAAAAACATGAAAAAATTACATCTTTTTGTAGGTAGGCAGTGGGCTTTTTTTTTGGAAAAAAAGCTTGCATTCTGAAGACGCAGAGAAAGACAAGCTAAGACAACGAGGCATATCTACACTAGAAACATATGTCAGTTTTTAATTGCATTGGCTGCCTCCCCAAAATCTTGGGAATGATAGTTTACTGTGAACGCTGAGACTTTCTGGTTAGAGACTCTCAGCCTGACCAAACTACAGTTCCCAAGGATCCCTGGGGAGATGGAACGGCTAGGGTTAAGACACTGAAAGTGCAATTCTGTCCAATTCAGTCATAAGCCCCATTGATTTCAACCAGAGTTACTCCCAGGTAAACCATATACAGCAGAGGCGGGCAGATTACAGGTCCAATGAATCCATTTTCCTTCCCTAGCACTTTTTATTTCTTTGTTGCATTCACATGCCAAGTTTCCTTCGAGGAGCCCCAGACGGCATGCGTGGTTCTCCTCCATATTTTATCCTCACAACAAACCCGTGAGGGAGGTTTGGCTAAGAGAGAGTGACTGGCCCAAAGTGAGGAGCTTCATGGCTGACTAGGGATTTTTTACCCTGTTCTCCCAGGTCCTAGTCCAACAGTCTTTAACCATTGCACCATAGTGGTGCTCCTGAGATCCACTAGCCAGGGCCAGTTGCAAAATGGCGGTGCTATTAAGGACTTGGAGGGCTCTTGTCACAGGCTCAGTCTGAGGATATATTTCCAGGACTAGCTAGGGCTGTCTGTAAGAGTCATAGGACTGTAATGTTGAAAGGGACCCTAACGGTCATGCAGGAATCTTTTCATACACAAATGCACTACTAGTTTTCTCAGCAACAACAAAATTAGTTCATCTCAGCAAATTAATTCAAAGCAACTTGTGTGTTGTTACTTTTCCTGTGTTAACACTGATTCACCACCTGCCCGCCACTGGTGTATAGGATTGCAGCCTTCCAGTGCAATTTGAGGCATGTTTACTTGGAGATACGTTCCACTGTGTTTAATGGGGCTTACTCCCAGGTAAGTGGGTTGCAGAACTGCAGCTTCAGTCTCTGGTGTAGATATTGCCCTCTAAGAAATGGCTTTAGAATCTTTTGATCTTCTGTGAATTGCCTGTTAGGGAGGAAGAAGCAAAGCTGCCGTTTTTTTTTTATTTTTCCTTACAAAAAAATAATAATAAATCATACATCGTTCTGAAAGTGGTATCAACGACTGAGGAATCAGAGACAGCGAGGGGGGAAAGTCGAAAAAGAAAAGAAAATACACTTCGATTAAGGCGAAACAAAACCTTTTAATCACAGTATCTGTTAAATATACAGGGAAACAGTTTGACGGGTTTGTGAAGGACACCTACTGACCATTATAGAAGGAAATGTTTCGAGCCCACATTCTCATTGGCAAAGCGGCGCAAGTAGATCGCGCCATTCCTTCATTCATTTTTTGTGAGTTTCTACACCATGATGCATCATCCCCCCTCCCTCCCCCCCTCCCCGCTCCCTCAGACCACGACACACACAAAAAAATTACAGCATATTAAAATAATGAATGTTTTAAGTCAGTAGCTTGCAGTACGACGGAGAGAAACTCAATCCAGTGCTTTTTCTGTGGTTCATTATGGTATTTATTGGTGCCTAAATTTGTACATGGGTACAGTCCATCAGAAACGTCCTTTGCAGAAGTTGCCCTGTGGTGCAGCTGTAGTTCATTTGCCATGAGACCCTCTTTGGGGAGTCAAGGGGGGGGGTTTCTTCCCACTGAGCAAGTGCTTTTCATAATTCGTCACCCTAAAGACAGGATTGGGGGAACTCGAAGGCTTCTCCACACACAGAGAAAGTAATCTTGCGAAATTCTAACATGATGCTGCTGCCTCATACTGAGTCAGACCGTTGGTCCATCTACCTCAGGGATGCCAACTTTCCAGGGTTTCACCAGGCAGGAGCCTTTCCTAGCCCTACCTGGAGATATCAGGGATTTAACTTGGGATATTCTGCATTCCAAGCAGGTGTGCTACCCATTGAGCCACAACCTCTCCTTAAGTGCTGGTTTTATATAGGCGGCGGGGGGGGGGGGAGGAGGGTTGTGTTTGCAACATAAAATGCACCTTGGCAATCACAGTCCTTTTTGCTGCCGAGCTTCACAACATAACCATCTAATTCCATTTCAACTTTCCTGTCTTGTTTGCTTGCCCCTTTAATGGCTTGAAGAAGAAGAAGAAGACGACTTTGGATTTGATATCCCGCTTTATCACTACCCGAAGGAGTCTCAAAGCGGCTAACATTCTCCTTTCCCTTCCTCCCCCACAACAAACACTCTGTGAGCTGAGTGGGGCTGAGAGACTTCAGATAAGTGTGACTGGCCCAAGGTCACCCAGCAGCTGCATGTGGAGGAGAGGGGAAGCGAACCTGGTTCCCCAGATTACGAGTCTACCGCTCTTAACCACCACACCACACTGGCTCTCTTGAAAGAGCAAGGGGTCTAATTTTGGTTATAAAGGAATGCAGATGCTTTGACCCACACTTTAACCCCATCTCAACCACTTTTTCAGGTGACTCACTTCAGGGACACTCCCCTGCCCCCCTCCCCCAAATCATTGACATATTATAGACAGTATCTTTTAGCAGGTGTCGGATGCTGCTTCCTATTCCTTGACCCAACCTGACATTTGGGGAGCCTTAGGGAAATCACCAAGCTGTTTGCAGTCCGAGATATGTGCTCTTGCAGCACACGTTTGTGAAACAATCCAGAAAAATAGCCAACCAGGTTTTTTGAGGGGCACACTAACAGAGAGGCAACAATGGTGGAATGAACAGGAGATGGAGATCAGTATTATTACGCATACAGGCACCGAGATATTGAGCCTAGGGAATGGGGCATAGGACAGAGCAGGCACTTTACTCCATCCAGAATTCCCTGCTCTCTAGGATTCACACTCAGGATGCGTGAAAAGTGCCAGTAAACATGAGTTGAAGGAGGCAGTTTCCTCCTTATATCCCATTAGCAAGATCATTCTGGTCTTCCAGAGTTACAAGCTTAGCACCTGCCCTCTCTCTCCTCTATTCAAACAGCACAGGTGGAGCTGGGCAGGTAACACCAGCATCTAAGGAGCCCCATCTAGACACCACAACACCCAGTTCACGCCTTTCCATGGAAGCATGTCTGTAACAGCATTGCAGGGTGGGAGGGAAGAAACATAGGGAAATTACATGCCCCACATCTGTCTGTTTTAAACCTACAGTGGTACGTTGGTTTTCGAACGTAATGTGTTCCGGAAGGCCATTCGACTTCTGAAATGTTCAAAAACCAAGGCGCAAAAGGTTGGGCTGTAAGTTCAATTGGGGAAAAAAATGAAAAACACACAGTGGAAGCCGTTCGACTTCCAAGGCGCGTTTGAAAACGGAAGCGATTACTTCTGGCTTTTCGGCATACGGAAACCGAAACGTTCGGCTTCTGAGATGCTAGAAAACCAAGGTACCACTGTAAAAACTTAACAAAAGAATCTTCGACGTTTCACGGGGTTTGAATACTGGGTGTCAAAGTTCAGAAAGCTCATGGCAACAGCAAAGGCTCGTCTGCTAGAATTCTGCACTCAGTGCACCCGCCCAAGCAGCAGTAGCCAGCATGTCAAGAGACCCATGGGAAACATCACTTCCTGCACACAGCACAGCACGACATGTGGGGAACTTTGGAGGACAGCTGAAAACTGCTCAGATCAGACCAAAAATACAAGCAGGACTTTGGTGGTGGGGAGGGGAGGAAAGGGAGGACTTCCTAAAACAATAATAATTATTGGTATGTTCTAATGTAAGTGGCACACTTGAAATAAATGCCGTCTGACTCTAATACGGAACACCTTGAGGACTGTTAAGCATTTGCATGTCAGAGGAGGCCGTGGTTTCCATCTAGCTGCAATCGTCGCTATCTCTGTTCTGCTGCAGTTTGGCTTCCACTAAGTCCTACATTATTCATCTCACTATGGCCAAAACATACATGATTATTCACACAATTAATTTCAATGCATTTCGGTAAAAGGGAAACAAACAAACAAACAAATGTAGAAAAGAATGTAATTATTTAACTAAGGTTTGTGGAGAAAAGAAAAGAAAAGCCCCGCTAGTGAATACTGCTCATAATTGCTGGCGTGATTTCTGTTTCGGGTGGCATTCTCTGATGCAGAACTCACACATGTGTGATTGTGCGGGTTTTTTTTAAAAAATATATATAGATATTTATAATTGCACTTTTCTTCTGCCTCCCACCTTGTTTTGCCAAACCAAACTACCCTAGAAAATAAATAGAAGACTTAATTCTAAATGCAAATATGATAGAAATATTATGATGATTATTTTTAAGAAACCAAATTAGACGCAGCATATGATTGTCTGGGAAGCTGGCTGCCAGATTAGCGCTTTCATTACTTATGGGTCATTTGGCACATTGACAATGATAAAAACAATTAATTAATTATGGAAAACAATTCACCCTTCTACGTCCTACTTATTGGTCATATGGCATAATAGCCTTTAATTATACACTGTTTTGGTCCTTCACTAGTTACTTATATTAACATTATTATTTTTTCCACAATAATGATATCTAACGCCAAATATATATATATGTATATATAATATAATAATAAAATACTGTTAAGGAAGAAATAAAATAAGTGTGTGTGTGTGTGTGTGTGTGTGTGTGTGTGTGTGTTTTCCTCTCTCTTTTTTAAAAAAATTACAAGTTATATACAGATTAAAGAAAAATCCACCATCTCATAGAATACCCCAATAGTCTTTTATTTTTCTATATATAAAAATTTGGCCCCTGTTTGAACACACAGCCCACGTGAATGGGATGATTTGCTTTGTAGAAGCATAAGGAGAAGTGCCAATGAATGGAATGTTAAGAGTGGCTTTTTGCAATCTGTTCACCGACAACAATTCCCAGATAAGGATGCTCTCTCCCAGACTTCCTGGCCATGCAAAAGCAGGAATGCCAGATGCGTCCCAGGGGAAGGTTTGCAACCCCCCAACACCGCTATACTCAGTGGTGGCTAATGCCCCATTGGGACAGGTGGATCAGAAGGCACAGGCAGTGTTGTCCCCTGGGCTGGTTGTTAAGTAAGGAAGCAGGTAGGTGAGGGCTGGCTATGATCAGACTGAGGTTGGTGGGCCAGTGGCCTCTTTGCCTAAGTGAACCAGCCTCCATTGGTTACGCTCAACACTGCTTGGCAGTGTGGCAGAAGAGGAAGTTAGGCATCCACTCTAAATGGCTCTGTGTCTTCTGTGAAGAAGAAGAAGAAGAAGAAGAAGAAGAAGAAGAAGAAGAAGAAGAGAAGGGGGAGAATTTGGACTTGATATCCTGCCTTTCATTCCCCTTAAGGAGTCTCAAAGCGGCTAACAATCTCCTTTCCCTTCCTCCCCCACAACAAACACTCTGTGAGCTGAGTGGGGCTGAGAGACTTCAAAGACGTGTGACTGGCCCAAGGTCACCCAGCAGCTGCATGTGGAGGAGCGGGAAAGCGAACCCAGTTCACCAGATTACGAGTCCACCGCTCTTAACCACTACACCAAACTGGCTGTGACTCTCACCTGTAGGGAGGTGCGCTAAGGTTGGTGGCAC